TATTTTCATGTTAATTAATTCCTGTGAAATTAATCTACTGTAATAGTTTTGCTGTTAAAAAATGAAACAAAAAAACAAAGAAAATATCCAAAAATAAAAAAGGAAACAAAGACCCAATACTACGCACTTCCATTATTATTATTATTATTATTATTATTATTATTATTATTATTATTATTATTATTATTATTATTATTATTATTATTATTATTATTATTATTATTATTATTATTATTATTATTATTATTATTATTATTATTATTATTATTATTATTATTATTATTATTATTATTATTATTATTATTATTATTATTATTATTATAGGAAAATTCTCAATGGTGATCCCCAACTTCTGCTACGCACCAATGGTAACCCTCTTGAAAATTAATTATACAAAATGACCTTTTTAAAGAATTTTATCCCAAATATGACATTAATGAGTGTTTTATTATTTAAAAAATTAAACTATGGTAAGATTGTTTTTTTTTTTTTATAAAAAAAAACCAACCAGCCACCTTCACCCAGCCGTTGCCACCTTCTTCACTGTCAAACAGCCGACGCCGCCCCCTTCACCATCAACCAGCCGACGACACTAGCCGTCGCCGCAACCTTCACCTTCAACCTTCAACCAGCCGCCACCACCACCTCTACACTTATTCTTACCCCAACCTTCAACCAGCCACCACCACCACCTCTACCCTCATTCTTACCCCAAACCAATACCCCTCACCAAACCAAGACCCGACACCTCCTTCAGACCCAGAACCAGATCACCGCTCCTCCTTTCACCATAACCCATAACCCTCCTTTTCTATCTCCTATGAGTCTCCTCTCCACCAACAACAACCTGAAACCCCCCCACCTACCCAAATCTGAAAGTGATTTCGGTTTAGGTGGGGGTTACTGGGTTTGGTTTTCGGGCGAAGGTGGTTTCAGTTCATTTAGTGGCGGGTGAGAGGGAGGGGAAGGGGGTGGAAACTGGTCGGGGTTTGGGGCGTTCGACGGTATAAAATGGTTGTGGGGTTTGGGTTCGGCGATCTGGGGGTCTGGGGGTGGTCATCGTTCCGATTTCGGCGGTCTAGAGGTGGTCAGGCAGTAGGCCGCCAGCAGTGAAAGGGAAGGAGGATAGGGTTGGTGGTTGTTATTTTTTAAAGTGTTATTTTTTTAAAAAAAAAAAATTAACCATAGTTAATTTTAATTAACTATTTAATGAAATAATGTTATTAGGGGGATAAAATTCTTAACTAAGGTCATTTTGTATAATAAAAAAAAAGGGAGGTTACCATTGGTGTGTAGCAGAAGTTGGGGGTTACCATTGAGAATTTCCCTATTATTATTGTCGTCGTCGTCGTTTCCGTTTTTTTTATTAGTTGATAATATTAATTGAGAATTTTATGAAAGATTCCTATAAAAGTATGAAATTTGGCTTTAATTATCATTAGCAATATCGTTAGACATAAAGATGAACTTAAAAAGATCGGCCCAAAGGCATGCCTAAACTAAATTATCATTAACAATATCATTAGCTAAATCATATAAAACAAATAAATTAGCAAAAGATCTGAAGTGAACTGATTGGAGCTGAACTGAACTGAAATTAAGCTGAACAGAACAGGTCCGTAGTTTAAGAAAATTATAAGTGGGTCTATTTAAAATATTTGTTTATTATATAAAGGATTCTCTTTTGTATTTTTATATTGGAAGGAAAAAAAATGGGGAAAGTGGGGGTAGTGAGGAGATAGAAAATGTAGAATTTAATTGGGTTTTCGGGTTTGTAGTCCCAAAGAGAGTATAACAAATATTTTTTTATTAGTGGTCTCATACTATATTTAGTAATGTGTCAAGTATTTTGGGATGGACGAAAATGGAAACTGTGTCAAGTATTAATGTATTGTGCAGTGGGACGGAGGAAGTATTTGTTATTCATTTACCTCGTTTTTTCTCGAAGTAATAAACAACTGGCAAATGGGTAAAACGGAAGGTTTAAATTTGTAATTACCACTTTAGTATGTTAAATGTCCATACCAATATAATATCATATCACTAATAAATAAAGCCGGTCTCGCAGCCAGGCCACGAGACATTGACACTTGAAAGTCTAGTTTTTCGCCAAGTGTCGAGCCACGTAGGCGACAAATAGGTATTATTGTGACATATATGATACTAAGTAAGCGAATTTTGGATACAATTTTTTAAATAAAAATGTTGTATAAAGTTTTATTATCGATATATTTCTAATATTTCTTTTATACAAAATTAATCATAACTTTTAATAACTATCCTATAATTCGGTTCTATTTCCAATTTTCCATCATAAGATTCGTTTTAAAAAGTTCTTTTAAATAAGATTCATTTATAATATATTTAAAAAATGATAGAGACTCAGTAAAAATAAGTTTTAATCAATAAAATAAATTTAGTTTCGTAAAAATACTTTCAATTCAGTAAAAATAATTTAAGTTCAATAAAAATAATTTCAAGTTACTAATAACACAGTATCTATTTACAAACAAAACTATAAAAAGTAAACTATTATATAAGTAAATGATATGATATTATATGTCTAAATATTCTGCATCATCAAAAAGGATTATAAGACCTATTTAACATTCAAATTAGACCAAAAAGTTTATCCTAAAATTTTATCAACAAATCGGGCATCATCCGGACATAAAATTATATAAAGGGGAGTTTTTTCCCAAGATTTTAGAGTGCCAACTAAGATTTTGATTTTAAAATAAAAATAAAACGCCATGTAAGATTATGATTTTACAAAAAAAAAAAAAAGTGCCACGTAGGATTATGATTTTAATAAAAAAAAAACTATCTTGATTAAACTTAATCCTAAAAAAATCGTATTTAAAAAACTAATCTTTATTGTTAATAATTGATATTATTATTATTATATTTTATTAAAACTAAACGTATCAGCAAGTGATTTGTATTTTATTTTACAATTAAAAAAATACAATCACCATGTAAGCAAAATCCGTGCATCGCACGGATTTTCATCTATCACTAATAAATAAAGTAAGTCTCACAGCCAGGGCACAAGGCAATGACACCTGACATTTAAGTTATTCGCCAAGTGTCGAGCCACGTAGGCGATAAATAAATATTATTGTGATTAGATTAGATACCACATTAGATTAGATTGGATAGATTTGTTTAGGATAAAAAAAAAGTATACATAAAATAATTTATAATTCTTTTGAAAAAAATTTATCTTTTTATTGACAATAGAATTTTACTTATAATAACACACCACATATTATAATTAATATGAATATCCAATTAACAATATAATTTTACTCCTATATGAATAACCACGTAACTATAATTATAAATATGGCCATGTATCATTTAATTTTTTTAGTCTACCATTGATTTACCATTAAAGCTTTTGGAATTAGGTATTCTTCATATTCGGTTGTAATATTTTTGTGTATGTTTGTGATTTTGTTAATGAAATTAAGGAAGTCAAAAACTACCTAGGTCTTAGAATTTTATGGGTTTTACAAAGCCTCCGTAGTCCATTTACCAGCCATATATTACATATGGTCCAATTAGGCCAATAATATAATCTATTGATTTTACGTGTTAAAAAAATAATTACTTTTAACTTTTTATTTATTTTATTATTTTTTTTACCGACGCACTCTTCTTTGCACAAAATTATACTCCTTATATTATTTTAGTGTCCCATTGAAATTTAGCACATATGTCGACATAGAACTTTGATAAACAATATCTTATTTATATATGTTTTTATGTATAATTCACAAACATTGGTCGTAGTAGACCAGTGGATATAGTGCAACTTACAAAAACAGAAAATAATAACAAACGTGAAAAAAGAATGACAGATAGTGTTTCTACTTTCTTTTTGTATCTAAATTTTTTTAAAAAATATAATAACTAATACTAATAATAATTATTGTTATTAATAATAATAATAATAATAATAATAATAATAATAATAATAATAATACAAAACATGCCCATAAATAAGTACACTCATTAAAATGGGTATTCGGAGCAACGCTCGGGGCACGTACTAGTATGTATGTGTGTGTGTGTATATATATATATATAAAGGGGAGTTTTTTCCCGAGTTTTTAAAATGCCACGTAGGATAACATTTTCTGAACGCACCATGTAGGATAATAAATTTTAGTGATAGCCAATCAAAAAAGAGATTTGAAAATTCTATTAAAATTAAATAATTCAAATGCAACATAAGCAAAATTGAAGAATGAGATTTTAAAATTTAAATTAATTAAATATTATATATTATGTTTTAAAATTAGGAATTTTATCCAAATGTATAACCGAAAATTCACAATTTATTTTAAAAAATAAATATATTAAATGATAAAATACGTACAACGAAAAAATAACAAATTTTATCACATATATACAAAAAAAATATTTATTCTAAAAAAATAAAAAATAAAACCATACATCGCACAGGTTTCATCTAGTTAAGGATAATAACGGTATGACTCCCGTATGAATATATTTATTGAATGTATGTAATACGTTACAATACAATTATCCCTATCTGCATAATCGTATCTCTAAAATGTGTGCCTCAAACTAGTGGGCATGAGGAATACGATGCTTTAAGCCTTTAACAATCCCTGAAATTCGATTTTTCACATTTCGTACAAAGGTGAGATGCTAAGGGTTGTTTCAGAGCTAGTTTATATGAACTCTTTCCTTTGGCATAAGTTTTCGGCCTAACGAGTAATCCTCCCTTTCGAACCACACAAAAAGACTAGCAAAGCATGGGTGACAACTGACAATATGTTAAATCTTCTTCCTGAGATGAAGTTATTCAACAACCAGATACTGGGTGGTAAGCCATCCCCTGTCCCGAGAACCCCCCCACGAAGGGGTTCGGTCTCTCATTACCTGTTACAGGGTATACTACTACTTCGACCTGGTTTTAATTGTCACGTTATAAGTACAGATCACACTAATAATGCAACAATTAATTCCACGCAAAGAAAGCAATAATAATTATAAGAAACAACGAATCTACTCTTAGGTAAGCAATAAGCGTACCCATGAGAACACAAGTAATTCCACAAGGTACAGTACATTATTCGCTATTCTGTCATTTGTAACAACCACAAACCACAACTGAATCATACAAGTATTCATAACCCATGATATGGTAATACATTAACAGTACTTAGACATAAGTTTAACACGATAGAGCAATAAGCTCGCGGTTAACTTCATTAGGTTGATGCTGATCCGGAAACAGTCGAAGGAACTGCATGCTTCTCTATTTTGGCAAGGAGGGAATCTTTGTCAGCACCCACAACCTTGTCAACTACATTTCCGTCCTTAAGGAAAATAAAGGTCGGCATTGCTTCGACTTCAAACTGCTCAGCAGCACTCTGCAAGCAATGATTTCCAACACTCATGAGACTGATTATATAAATACGAAGAAACGAAGTAGCTATGGGGGCACAATTATGGTTTAAGAGTTTCAGTTACATACCTTCAACTCATCAACATCAACTTTGAGGAATACCACATGTGGGAATTTCTTGGCATACTCAGCCAGAATTGGTGCAATGAATCGGCACGGTGGGCACCATGAAGCAGTGAAATCAATGACAATCTGCAATAAAATTCATCAGTTCCAGTAATCCTAACTCCAACCACAAAGACGAAATCATTGTTTTTGACAAATCAAAACGTCAAACAGTCACCCAAAACCATACTTGAAACCCAATTGAGAGTCAACATAACCAACAAGTGTTTTGATCGGCTAGTTAGAGACTTAGAGGTAATATTCTAGCTCAACCAGCACTAGTAAGGACCATATGCCTTCAATTGGCGCACACCCAGACTGAATCACCCAAAACCATACTCGAAAGTTGAAACCCAATTGGAATTCAATTCTTATAAAACCAAGAAATCAATATGACCAACAAGAGTTTAGATCAGCTAGTATCCCTCCAATTGGCGTATGTCCTCGCTTAAATCCGGATTAGTCGAAGTCTAATGAGATCTGGATTATTGGGGTCTCCTAAAAACATTACTCACCCAATATAGCATACATCCACAGAAATACTACTTGTGGATTATTATAGGGTCTCCTAAAAACATTACTCACCCAACATAGCATACATTCACAGAAAGTCCAATTTGTGCTTCTTGTAATAACTCCCCAACTTTCTTCACTTTTATCACAAATATCATCAATTCATCATTCCAGTTACTTTAACCATAAACAAAATTCTCAATTTATATTCGTGAATTAGGGTTTGACAGAATTAATTCTAATAATCAAATTCAATTCCGTATAAAGAATTAATCTTTGAATCCATTCAATTCAACTCAATTGCACATGTAAATCAAATCAAATCACATAATTACACATTAATAAAATTTCACTCCATACCATACAATCATATACAACAAAAAAAAAAAAACACTCAATTCTTCACAATTTTTTGTAAAAAAATAATGCAATCATATTAAAAAAAAAAAAAAACACAAATAAATTCATCACAAAATTACAAAAATAATGATAAAAAATTACCAATTTGTCAGGACTTTTGTTAGTCTCAAGCTGCTGCTTCCATTGGTCAACGTTGTGGCATCCAACAACTTCACCCATTTTTACGATTTTCTGTTTTTCTAATTTTGTTGAGACAATAGAATTCGAAAAAGCGATGATTTAGCTTAGTTGAAAATGAAAAGATTCACCTCTTCAACTATTTGTAGAGGGGAATGTAAAGTTGGGGCCGCGTATTTGTTGGGCTGGGCCTTTTTTTTTTTTTTTTTTTTTTTTTTTGGTATTCGCACTATTAACTTTCCTTAACGCGGTGTTTTAAACTTTTAATATTCGTTCACGTGAGTAATTTAATTTTACTCCGTACTTCCTATTTGATTTTCTTTTTTTTTTCTTATATTCAAAGGTTTTTGTAAATTCGTTTTATCTTTCCATTTACGCTACAGCTAGAGGATATGGAATATTTGACCTTTGATAGATAATGAAAGTGATAAAGTTTATTTTGATATCAAGATTATCACTATGTACATATATTATGGAAATTTCCAACGCGTGTTCGTATAGGCTTTCTGCAACAAAGTTGTTACTCTTTTCATCCTGTAGAAAATTTAGTTTATTATTCTGGATGTTCTACTAAAATTTTCTAACATAATTAGTGGCGGATCCAGAATTTTCGAGATGGTGGGTCACCATCAATTATCGAAGATGAGGTTTCGTTTGCGATATCGATAACAGTCGTGAGTTGCAGTAACGGAAATAATGCGGTTATCACTAAACGGGTTGCAGATGTGGTATCTAAATTTTAATTAGCAATTTGATATTTTTTTAACCATTTTCTATAATCTATTATTATTACTCTCTCCGCTTTTTTTAAATGCCCCATTGGGCATTTTGACACTATTCAATAAACATACTTTGACTTATGTTTGTGAATTATATATAAGAAAAAAATATAGTATTGTGAGTGTTTGTTGGAATCGTCTCAATGAGTAGATTATTAATATTCAATTGTTATAATTTATCATTCTATATAATTAAAAATATATTTATTTGATCAAAGTTTTGTCTCGACATATGTGTCATGTCACTATGGGATACTTAAAAAAACAGCAGGAGTATTAGGCAAAACCACCCAAGCAGCTTACACGTACTAATTTCTAAGCCAAAAAAAAAAGGTTTATTGAAATGTAATTGGTCTCTTAAATGTCAGAATTTTAAAATCTACAGGTATTGCCTAGTAAGAAATAACTTTGAATTCTTACTCTACTCCGTATTCGGTACTTTTTCCTATGCTTTCAAATAAAGTAAAAAAGTTTTGCTTTTTTTAAAGTTATAGCTATCTAAATTAAATAAATAGAGGGTAGAGGTCATGGACTTATACGTATTAGACAGTTGTCCACCTGTCCTACACCTATTCTAAAACTCAAATATTGCATCATTTCCTACCCCATACTTCATAGTTTGAAGATCTTAGCCATGAAGCCACTGGAAAAAAAAAATAAATAAAGGGAGAAAAAGGGTAAAATTTCATTTCATTTTTTGGGGCTGGTGGTGCACGTGCACCATCGTGCACACATATGGCTCCGCCACTGAACACAATCAGTTCTTGGATCCAAAACCCTTCATTTCATTTTTTAGGGCTGGTGGTGCGCGTGCACCACCGTGCACACATATGGCTCCGCCACTGAACACAATCAGTTCTTGGATCTAAAACCCGAAAAAAAATTCTAACCAACTAAAATATCCCTTACTTACCTAACTAAATGGTTTATGTGTGACATATAAGCCAAAATTTAAGGCATGTCAATAAAGGAAAGAGAAGCCCACTTCAACTTATAAAACAATTGCCAAAAGTATGAAAGGAAACCGTTTTGGGTCAGCCTTGCCCACCTAGCGTGCCCATTAATTTTCCAACGGTCTAGCCCGTATTTATTCTAGTCTAATTGAGCCCATCGGTCCAGTCGTCCAGGCTCGGGAGTATAATCCTCTAATAAATGTAACTCAAAACTCTTGAGAGTCTCAATGATGGCTACATTATGCATAGTCTTATGCTTTTAGGTGACTAATGCCTTAAATCGTCAACATATTCAGAATCGCAGTGGGTGTACAAGGAAAACAATATACAGGAAGCAATTGCCACACTTGAAACTTTGTAGAGGTTTCCTTATTCTCGACACTTAACACGAAAGATTTATCCATCTCCGCTTGAGTATATATATAGCCCTCATTTGCATCCCCTTGGGGGTTGGAGGTGTTCATTCGACGAAGAGAACCCTATATATGTTTGTTTTGTGACCTCCAACAACAAACTCGATAACGGGACATAGTAGTGTTCCCTCAAGGCCTCAAGACTAACTACTATGTAATCCACTTCCATATACTATGAATTAACCCCAGGAACAAAAATCCTGTCACAATTAAAATTTGAATTAATAGTACTGCATTTTTATTTCTTTTCACCTAGGTCTATAAGGGAGCTCTTTCCCAAATTAATGTCAAGAATTACCGCAATTCCCAAACTACAGCCACTTCTTTTTATTTTCCCATTCTACCGTCCACGTAAGCATTGGGGAAAAAAACCGGTTTTTTTTTTTCCGGTCCAGAGTAAACCGCTACTTCAAGTAGCGGTTTCTTAGTACAAAACCGCTACTTGAAGTGGCGGTTTACATTGGAAAACCGCTACTTCAAGTAGCGGTTTTGTACTAAGAAACCGCTACTTGAAGTAGCGGTTTTCCAATGTAAACCGCCACTTCAAGTAGCGGTTTACCCTGGACTGTTTTTTTTTTCAAACTTACATAATCATTCAAAAAAAAAACCTGCAAGTTGTGTACCTGTAAAACATGAGATATATAGCATATTTTCAACACAACCACCACAAATAACAAGTTTATGAAGATTTAAGGAAGTCCAAATTGCAACGTCGAATATTTTTCAATTGATTAAATATAACAAAATCCAATTCTAAGCATTTACAAAAAAATTAGTTTAGTTCCAAAATATACACTTAGCTCGGGCGTTGCTTCTTCCCATGAGGTGACGATGAAGATGATGCAGGTGTCTCCTCCTCTGGTATGTCATCCAGGCCAACTCCAACCCCAGACGTAGTGGTGTTCCAGGAACCGTACTCTCTAACAGCCTCCACTCAACAACAGTTCCAGGATTTGACTCCTTGAGAGCTTGCATGTACTTAGGCAACTGTTCATATGAACCCTCCCAATCCCCATAAATGAGTTTTATTGCCTTTTGTTTCGCTAGCCATGCTCTCTTGTAGGTTATTTGGAATCCATCAAATTTCTCTTTTACAAGTTGCACCATTGTCTTGATTTTCAATGAAGGATCAACGCGAATGACATCTAGAAGAGCATTGCAAACAAACTCGGAAGTGAGTAGCTTATGATCTACCGAGTCGATGTCACCAACACAGTTACTTGCATGAGGGCCATTGTACCTCACAATTTTAAACGTAGAGAGTGTTGGATCTTTCACTCCTCTAAGCCTCCACGAACAACTACATTGTTCTTTCCTCTTGCACTCAACAACATATTTCTCTGGCTCTGCCTCCACAACTCGAATTGTTTGATTTCTAGCTATGGAGTAAGATTTCACAGCATCTTTCAGTTGTTGCAATGAGTCAAACTGCTGTCCAACCTCAAATTCTCCCCCATTGTTATATGTCTCATTTCCTAACCAAGACATCCATGAGTTATTCAAACGAGGATCAACTTGCGGCACTTCATTGAAGTCTGAAGTGGGAGCGCTTTCTTTAATTGCCTTATCACGAGCTTCAATTACTTCTTCATCATCATCTTCATCAGTGTCATTCATCTCCGCATCGCCAAATACATCAACATTGTTTGGGTCAAGAGAATCAAGAATGCCTTGTGGTTGTGTGCTTGTTGAGGTTCCAACATTAGGCGATGAGGCCGGAGACCTGAACTATGACAGATGTTCATTGACATAATGTGGATCAACAAGCATTCTTGTGAATGACCCTATGCCCACACTTTGATTAGTAAGGGAAAACGGTTGATCCACACTACCAAAAAAATCCATCCCCGAAAAGGAACCAGTGTTAGTTTGCACAACTGGCTCCTTTGAAACTTGTTCAATGTACAATTGCATTGCAATGGAAGAACTCTGAGTCACAGCAATCCACATAGCCTTAAGAGCGTTGTCGTCATTCAACGGAACTGCGACATAAGCCCCAGCCATAGGATACCGCATAACCACCTTCAACTCCACAACTCTGGGATCAATACTCAATTCTTCATACAGCTTATTCAAAACTTGTGAATATGTCATCCCAGATTGTACAAAAACAAATTTTTGATTCCCACCCCTATACGTTACATCGCTATCTTTGTGTATAGTTTCTCCACCCCAATAGCAAAATAGAGGGTAGTTTGATACCTCCATGATGCATTCTAGAAAACGCCATGATTAGTGAAAGATATTAGTGTTGCAAAAATTAAATTAGACGACCATGGATAAACTACGCTATACTTAGGCAAAATACATGATTCACAAGCGGCAACAACAACAACTACTTCACAACTAAAATAAAAACATTAATAGGCAAATGCAATACATTCACAATTCACTACTTCACCAAAATTTCACTACCAAACACCTAACTCACAACCAACAACACCAACAGCTTCACAATTAACACCAAACTCACCAACATAAAAACATAAACACCAACAGCTTCACAATTAACACCAAACTCACCAACAGCTTCACAATTAACAACAACAAATTCACAAGCCACAACAACAACAAATTCACAATTTCCAAACATAAAAACAGCAAAGACAAATGCAATAACATTCACAATTCACTACTTCACCCAAAATTCACTACCAAACACACAATCAACAACACCAACAATTTCACGACCAACACCCATTTCAAAGCATTAACCATAATCAACAGCCAATTCACGAATTGGATAAATAATTAACAAAATTAGGGCATAGTACACTTACCAATTCACGCAACACCAAGGAGCCAAAACTACTTCACCGGCGTCGCAACAAGCTTGGTGAACAAATCAGCGTCTTTCCGGCAACAACCGCGGCTCCGGCGAGTACACAAGTGGCGAAGACCAGACTTGGGAGGGAGTGGTGTCTTTTGGTGTTCGTCGGAATGTCTGAGAGTGAGTTATAAAGAGGGAATTCTATTGCCTTGATAAATCGAAGAGGAAGACTGATTTTGTAAAAAAAAAAAAGGATTCAGTGTAAACCGCTACTTCAGGTGGCGGTTTACTTAAACAAAACCGCTACTTCAAGTAGCGGTTTTTTAGTAATACACCGCTACTTGAAGTAGCGGTTTTCAAGAATATACCGCTACTTCAAGTAGCGGTTTTCTAGAAAAAACGGTTCAACTTTTTTTTCCCATGAACCGGTGACGTGGACGGTATTCAGGGAATATAAAAATAAGCGACTGTATTTACGGAATTGCAATTGTTCTTGACTATATTTTGGGAAAGCGCTCTCTATAAGGGCACGTATGGCTAAATCAATACTACTTAATACTTATACATTATTTGTTTATTGAATTAATGTTTTACCTAAAATTTAATGGTTTTTAATCGATTCATTTGCAAGTTCAATGCATGTGTATAATTATGTATGGCTGTGTGAGTGGGGAGTCAATCAGATTCCACAGGGCCATATGCTAGTAGAAGACTCAAACTTAAGACCTACATCGAGGTTATTATGTATTCGAATGGTCAATATATACCATCAAGATAGTAGTGCTTCTACTAAAACAATAATTGTAGGTCCAAACATACAAAATTACAAGAGTGGAAAGTTATTGAAGTATGAACAAATGAAATAAATAGAGAATCATATCACACGATAGGAATGGAGAACACTAGATATGACATGCATTAATTATGATGTGAAACATGTCAAATTATTTGCTCTAGCCTCTAACTCAATACAAATATAATATATATATATATATATATATATATATATATATATATATATATATATATATATATATATATATATATATATATATATATATTACAGATCGGGGTATAGCAAATTATTATAACACTAATCAAATTTCAAATTGCTTACTGATTCTCCTAATTAATAATCCAATACCTAAACACGTACAAATTTGTATCCTATGACCTAATAAAATTCTAGTGGATGAAAATTCCTTTTATTATTTCTCCAACTCGTCCCCTCCCAATAAGATTGGAATGAAGAATAGTAATAAGAGAATCTAATCTCAAACGACTCCAAGTGCTCCTTTTGACAAAAGATTCATTTAATGACAACACTAATACAACCTGAAGACAAACTAATACAAGAACACAACAAGAAAAACACTAAGTAACAGGAAAACCAAATAAACAGAATGCGACATCAAAGAACATCTTCTTTTGTAGAATTGTAGGAGGTTTTTAGAGTCATTTGTTGCGAACATCTTCTAGCTTGGGAGATCGAGTCAAACTAGTGACCTCCAAATCACAAGCTCAACCCGACCCCTTACTAGTGGTTAAGCAATCTAGTCCTTATATGTACCCATTTTAAGCAATTTAAATTTCTATATGCAGAACGAGTTCTTGTACTTTGTAGATTGTTAATTAAATTTACAATTGATTTAATCATTAAATTCAAAAGATAATTTTAGAGCACAAATACAAGACAAAAGAGCACAATAAAACCCTAGTGCAGTTGTATACTCGACCTAATCCTTGATCAAGCTCGAATTAGTCTCTGATCTCCTTCCTTAGTTTGAAGATATCTTAGCTTCCAAATTGCAAAGTTCTGGCCCCGTACAAGTGCCATGAACTATGCTTGTATTGAACTTCAAATGACTTTATTAGTTCCCAAAATCTGATTGAGTTTTAATGGAATCTTATTAATGTGCTGGGCTTTATATTTTTTTTGACTTTTGTCACCCTAATTTGTCAGCTAATTACAATTTGCTAACTAAGGAAATCACTAATGTGGCACAGGATTGGCATATATGGGTTATAATTCAATGAAAGTATGCTTTTAAGGCTATGTGAAGTTCGACAAATTTCAAAATTTTAATGCTAGATAGCTTGTTTAGCATTTGACTAATTAAATCGGAACAGATTTGATTATTAATTAATTAAAAATACTCGGTACATAGTTTATGTATGATAATAAAAATAAGGAAAATAATAAATGCATCCTTTAGGGCTGAATATAAGAAGATTAAGAAAGAAAAATTAAAAGTTATTAAAAAGGGTTATGTTATTGAAGCCCTTAGGGCTACAAATAAGCAATTAATATATTTCCTAATTTTGTATTATTTAGGAATACATGACAAAATCACGCACAAATCAGTATAATTAATATTATATTTTCAATTTTCTTACACCACATTTTTCCTTTTTAAAATAGTTATAAAAAATAATAATGAGTAAAACCGTTATAAAAAAAGTAATTAATAATCGTGATCAACATATGATTTTGTCATAATTACAGCACTCCATATTAAATCAAATATAATAATTTCGTATATAAATATATGCATGTGCTCCCTAACTATTTAGTACAGTACGATGAAGGATAATTAAGTCAAATTTGATCTACTAATAGCATAATTAATGTGGGGGCATGCACAATTTCTGACCTTAATTAGCAATTCTCACGTTGAATTTGACAATTAGCGAACATAGTTAGGGCTGCATTTGGCTATAAATAGGCCATCATAGATACACCATTTATGCTATAACCTCAAAGTAGCAAATTAAAGAGAGAAATAAATTACTTCATAATTAATATATCAAAAGATTTATTAATTATTACTAATAATAGCACATTATGGAGAAGATTAGAGTAGCTAATATAGCAATTTTGGGCATGACTATTTGTTGCATGATCTTTTGCTTTAATGTGGCTAATGCTTCTGATCCTAGTCTTCTTCAAGACTTCTGTGTGAGTGCAACTGATCATCATTCCGCAGGTATATATATCACATTATCCATCAAAATAATACTCCGTTTTGAAATGATGATTACGCTTAGTATGTATGAATTATTTAATTTTTAGTTATGAGTTGTTACACCTGTCTCTTTACCCTACACAAAAGGACCAACTTTTTACCCACTTATTTACTCCGTAATTAGTAATTAATTACGTACTTTTGCCTACGAGTTACTCCGAATAGGCTAATACCCCCACTTTAACGTGAAAGATATATACTATCAGGATATTTTGATTTTATCGATCTCTTGTGTATAAATATAATACTTCAAAAGAACATTTAAAAATAAAAAAGAGTATATACTCATATTTAATAGTGCATACATTCAGGGTTAAAGTACATCAAAAACTAATTTTTCTTGCTTATACATAAGTTTTTTAAGATAATTTTTTTTTTTTTTTTTTTTTTTTTTTTTTTTTTTTTTGGGAAAAGCAATATTAGCAAATTAAATTCATTTTATTGCTATTATTAGTATCTTACATGAATGGTGGGAATTTGTAATTTCAAATCAAGAATAGTTCGTGAGGAGCTATTATGTTTCTTTTTTGTTTTGTCTTAACTTAATTAGATTAGTTGTCCAATTATTATTAATATCTTTTTCATTTTTGAGGGGTCTAAAATGAAAAGAACTGGTGCCCTATTTTACATTTATATTCTCTCATTAGTATTACTACGTTTATAACTTGATTTTCGATAGTTGTATAGTTTGTACCCCGTACAAGCCTTACAAAGGTTTTTTTTTTTTTTTTTTTCCCAAACACTAAGCTAGTTAATTTTCTAATATTCCGTACATGTTCATGATTTATTTCTCTGTAAATTTTATTTTTCAGTGTTTGTCAATGGGAAATTCTGCAAAAATCCAAACGACGTCAAAGTGACTGATTTTTTGTTCAAAGGGTTTAATAAGCCTGGAAATACAAACAACCTTCAAGAAGCATCCGCCACAATCGTAGACGTTAACCTATTCCCGGCACTTAACACACTAGGGGTCACCATTGCTCGTGTAGACTTTGGGCCTTATGGCCTAAACACTCCTCATTTGCATCACCGTGGATCAGAGACTTTCGCGGTGATGGAAGGAACCCTATACGCGGGTTTTGTCACATCCGATAACAAACTCTTTGACACGGTAATAACCAAGGGGGATGTGATTGCGTTCCCCCAAGGTCTAATCCACTTCCAAATGAACATGGATAACACACATGCTTATGCAATAGCTGCATTTGGTAGTCAAAACCCGGGAAGAATTAATGTTCCTAATAGTCTCTTTGGAACTACACCGCGAATTTTGGATGATGTTCTTACTAAGGGATTTCAGGTGAGTGTGATGGACATCGAACGACTTCGAGCACAATATAATAACACGTCCATAGATACCGGAAGATCCATTCTCAAGTTGCTATCTGAACGTTCTTATTAATAGCCTTAATCCAAAACCTAAATAAGATGTTTGTCCATCATATTATATTCTATCATTAGATTGAATATAATCGATAATACGAAGTAATTGGCAATTACAAGCATAACTATGTATTCCGTAATACTTTTAACGTATGTTATGTTTTTTACTTGAGTTTGTCACCTACGTGCTCCGTTTGTAGTACGTATGCTTGTATTGTCTCTACATGAGTAACATGACTACATGTAGTGTGTTCTGTATGTTTCAATAATAATAGACCGCATTTTAATTTGGTGGTTAAGTTTTCAATTCGCAATAAATGATTGCTTAATGAATATAATGACTATCTATATCGATTGGGAATTAATCTTATATATATGTAAAGTGGCCACACCATGAGCTCAATAAATTACATTTTTTTTTGAAGAAAAATAAATACAGTTTTTAGTTTAGTCATATACGATTAAAATTTGAAATTATCAACAAGGAATTAATCTTATATTCTTATGTAAAGTGGCCACACCATGTGGCTAGCCACATGAAAAAGTTTATGTTACTCAGCATATTAGAAAATAACAAAACATGATTTAATTTTTGAAGGGGCAATGATATATATATTCTTTAGATCTATATGCAATTTAAGCATTAGATAGACTTTCAAAAGTGGTATAAATTTAAAAATTCGTGACAAAAACACGTGTAAATCGATGTTATTTATGTTTATCTATTCTTAATCATTTCTCTTTATGTAATCTTTTTCCTTGGAACTATGTTTATCATTTTACTTTATAAAATGCATGCATATATGGGCATGCCAGCCAATACATGAACGTTTGTGTGGCCTCTAAAAACCTAACAAATCTTCTGCCACCACTTCAAAGAAGTCCATGTCGTGCACATGGCGTCTTGCACTTCGGGTGCGAGGTAGTGCACGGCCGTGTTACCGATCATATATGTTAACCCTTATGAGGTTTTGATGATGATGTTGGTGTTTGAGCAAACTTCTATCTAATAAGAGTTTTCTAGTGTTTTGATGTTTGCAGAATAAGTAAACTTTGGGAGTTGAAGTGAGGTCTGGAACAGAGGAACTTAAGAAGACTAAGGATGGCAAGTAAGATCAGAGGAAGATTTCCAGAAAGAAGTTCTCTGAACAAAGCTGGATGGAACTACAAGGTGTTCCCTAACAGGAACATATCAAGGGCTTCCTAACAGAAGCAAGTTCCAATGTAATGCTGGAAAAGAAGGATAGCAGGTTGTAATGACTTGGTCTGCGAGTTCCAGTGTAATGCTGGAACGTGACTTCAAGAATCAAGAACCAATGCAGAGCTCGAGATATCAACCAAAAAGATGACCTTCATAACTTAGGTTGTATTAAAGATAAGTTTGTTATTTAGGGTTGATGTAAATATATGATTGGTTGATATGCATGGAACTTATTAGAAATTAGATAAAGCTTGGCAAACTAATTAATTCGTAAAAGATTATCTTGAGTTTATGAAAAAGAATTTAATTGATTTTATCTCTTAAAAATTTGGTTTACATGGTTTTATCTTTTTCATGTAAAACTCTATATTTATAAAACAGATTTATCTAAGGAAAGGTTTTCTTAAAAATGGAATTAAGTTTACTTGATTTCTGTTTTAATATGATAAGGTTGAAATTCTGATTTATCTTCAACTTATCATTTTATCAAAACCCTACTTTGCTAAGTTGACATCTTCTATAAATAAGGTAGGTGTTCTTCGAAGTAAAGTGAGAATTTAAGCGTGAAAACCACTAAGTGCTTAAGAGTAAGTTTTCCAAAGGTTTAAGCTTTATCATTTTGATTTCAGGTTTCATGTGTAGCTTTCCAATTATATATTAGAGTGAGTCTTTGTGTTATAATTGGTTTTTGGGGTGAGTGTGAATTCTCTATAATTCATGTGTAGCTGTGAGTGCACAGTGAGGAGCTTCTAGTGTGAAGTAGAGTGTAGGCACTCTGGGAGTGCTGAGTGAACCTAGGTGTGGTACTTAGATTGGGTAGGATAGGGTCCTATCAGGAAATAAGTGTCCGGGTAGAAACTTGTGAGTGTAGCAAGTTGTCGTGGAGGAACTTGTGAGAAAGGTTTGTGTGTAATAGGTTGTAACTAGGAGTTGCCCCATTATAGTGAAGTTTTGGTGTGCAAATCCCGAGAAGGGTCGAGGTTTTACTTCCAATTGGGCCCTGAAAGGTTTCCTCAACTCGTAAAACTTGCTGTGTGTTTTAAGTTCCTTTTAAGCTTTGCTTTATATTCCGCAAAAGATTGACCTAACTGGAACCTACTACAATCCACCCCCCCTCTCGTAGTAGTTCATCTAAACTAACAATATCGATAATCAATGTTACCATTGCACTTCCTTCCTCGTTACTGAACGTACAATTGCTTGTAATTTCCATGAATATACCCAAGTACCATGCTATATTTTCTTATTTGAACCAGCCATTTTTTTATTTTTTTTTCTTAATTCATTTTAGGATAAATAAATAAATGTAATCTTACATTATTATTGATGAAAGAAATGTCAAATTCTAGAGTAGAGAGTAAATACTGGTGTGGGCATACCTGGGGAGGGAAGGAGGTCAGAATTGTAAAAGGAGATTACTTGTAAAAGTTGGTTATGTGTTTGAACATTTAATTTCTCACTGATTAAAAATTAAAAATTAAAAATGATGGTCCATAATTGACCAACTCCTATGATAATCAATTCCTATGATCGTAAATTCGGTTCAATTAATAATTAGCTTACTACATGTGTCATGTAAAACTTTCTTTTTCCTCAGCTCCTTTGTTTATTATTGAACTTTTTTTTTTTTTATCGTAAATTCAATTCAATTATCAATTAGTTATGAATGCATGACAAATCACACGTTGTTTGGTATAATTAATGTTAGTTTTATTCTAATATTTACACTTTTAGTTCTCTTATTCAACGTCTCGGAGGCGTTTGTTAGCTTTTGTCAAATATAATAATAAATAAACTCTATTCCTTTGTACAAGTACCAGAGATTTCAACTCTCCATTAGCTAGAATCTACTATAAAAATCAAATGAGGTTCGTTCCACTTCAAAACAATACTTATAATAAAAGGATAGTCCCTTGGCCATATAATATGTTTAATTAATTTTCTCTTCTGACACTAATGTATTGTTTGAAAAAGCTATATCTCAACCAGTGGCGGATGGGGGCCGGAATTTGAATCTTTATCAATCAAAGATAATCACTATGTTCAAATATTTTGTAAGTAAAATAAGGTTATTTAAGTTCATCAACTAATTAATTACAGTAATTTATCGGGGACGACAGGGCCCCAAATGGCCTCGATGGAAGGTCTCCCTCTATTCTCAACAATATATAAATTACCCCCATAATTTTGGTACAACATCAAGGGAACTAAAAGGGTGAAAAAGTATATTATATTGCATATTTTTGTAAACTTGTCCCCCTAAATAATTAAGGAGTCTTAGATGCGTAACTTATTATTAAAAAAAAAAAAAAAAAATTCTTCCTCATTTTTTTTCCTATTCACATGCATGCATTTTACGTGGTCTCCAAGACATACATATATTTGGCCAATTAGAACATCCACAATGTATGATTACATAAAAGGACCTGCTCGTAATTCTAAATAGTTAGAGGTATATGCTAGCCATTGTGGAGCTACATAGGTTGTAGCTAAGGCCAACACTAGTAAAAAAACATAAATGAGCACCGTACCGGTTATTAAAAATCGGTGCGAAAAAAACAAGGCAGGAGTTGATTAAAGAGTAATCGCACCAGTTTAAACCGAACCGGTGCGAACTTGAGTTAATATCACCGGTTCAAACCGATGCGAATGTTAAAGAAAAAAACCCGCCCCTCTATTTTCTTTCTTTTCCCCCTCTTCTCTCTTTCTCTTTCCTCGATCTCTCGTTCTTTCTCTCTCTCTTCTCTCTCCTCTCTCCTCTCTCCTCAACTAGATCTCCCTCTTTCCTCCCTCCACCGTGCCGCCGTCCATTCCACCTCGTCAGCGCACTCTCCTCTCAGCTCTCTGTCTTTCTATCCATCCCACCTCACATTCACTCTCCTCTCAGCTCTCTTTTTCTCTCTTTCATTTACCCTCACACTAACCATCGCGGCGGCGATGGTGACGGGTTTATTTCTTCATCGGCGCCGAATCTTTGCAGTGGTGGTGGATCTCTTCACGAAGGTATGTGCTCTTCGATTTGAAATCTAGGGTTTCTGATTTTATATACTTTTGTTTTGTGATTAATGATGAACAATTGAAATTTTGATTGAATTTAATGGTGAGATGATAGGGCGTCTGATTTTTATTTATTATTTTGTGATTATGGTGACGGGGGTCGATGCTTGGATTTCTCCTCTTCTTCGCTGCGTTTCGTCGCCTCATCGTCAGTCGTCTCCAAATCCCCTCTTTCTCGTGATGAACAGGAGCCCAGATCTACCCCTTGTTTGATTTGAAGAGGTTAATTTTTTTTATTTGGTTGAGTTTTGGTTGTTCTGATTTGAAATTAGGGTATTGTTTGATTGTGGTTATAGTGATGAATATGCGATTTTTGATTGTTTTGGTTGTATTGATGATTTTGCTGCTCGGATTAGTTGTGGTTATGTTGTGATGAGCTCGATGACATGGTGAACATGTTGTTAATTGATTGAATTTTTTTTTTGGGTACTGTATATTTTTGGAGTGGGTGAAATTAATTTGAATTATATAGAGTTGGTGGATTGATTGGTATGATAATTGATTGCTCTTTGTTCTTGGTGTGTTATTTGAGGTTCTGTGTATTAGGATTAATTTTTAGAGTTGCTCTTTGTTTCCTTTGCTTTAGTTCCTATTTTAGTCTTCTTGTTTAGTTTCAGGAATTATATAGAGTTGGTTTGATTGTGAATTTGATTATTGTTTATGTTATTTATATGATTAGAGTGTGAATCATTAGAAGGGGCAATGGGTGATTAATCACTTCCTAAATTGTCCCAAATTTTGTTTTTCCATACCCTAAACCCATAAACTAATTATTTAAGGAGCAATCCAAAAACCTTCACCTAAAGAATAAGGGTTGATGACAACTTTAAAACGGGTATATAGTCGAGGATTTTCCATTTGTATGCCTTTTACTGTAGTCTTTAGCAGTAGTTGTTACATTTCTTTTTCCTAAGTTTGAATTTATATTGGTTACATCTCCAATGTTCTGTGTGCTACAAATAAGCAATTCATTGTTTACATCATGGAACCAACCAATAAAGTAACTCAGTCATGGGTTTTGTTAAAACATTATTTCTTGGATGTGTATGTAGTTACAAAATGCTGGTGTAAGCATTAGCTTCTGTGCTATCAATTTGAAATTTTGCCAAACTTATTGTTGTTATATTTTATACGGTGTTGCTGTTACCTGAGATGGATGAATCTGTGCATTCATCGACCATTTGTCTTCTATAAGAGGATCATGAGGAATTTTGCTGCCTGTCTTTTACTGGTTCCTATCCCCCCCTCCCTTTTTTAGAATGACATTCCGGAGAGAGTAAATGAAGTTCTTAATTGGTATACATACTTGTTTATAATTTGTTTCAAAGAGTTTCAAGGTTACATGGCTGATGCCGGTAGCTCTGTCTGCTATTTAGAAACCTTATGCTTCTTTGATTGATCATACGGGAACGTGCCATTGATTATATATCTACGCCCTTTCCTTCTCCACACATGTAACCTGTTAAGACTTAAGAGTATCTAGCTTCTTATTTCATTTGATCATTGATATATATATATTGTTTGCATTAATGGGCTTCAATTAATTCTTGGTGTTATCTTTTACATTTGCAGGCTATCTAAGACGATGTGGGGACAGTTCACATTCAGCGCCCTCACAAAGGTCCTTTTTATGTTTCTCCGAAAACTATTGACCAGCTAGTTGCAAATCTTGGAAAGTGGGCTAGGTACATCCTTTCTTTCTTTTTTCTTTTGTTATTTTTTTTTTATTTGTTTTTTTTTTTTGCAATCTTGTCTTATGCATCCTCTCTGTGTGTATAAATGGCGTATGCATCAGGTGGTACAAATTTGCTTCCCTGGGATTCACTGCCTTTGGTGTCTATTTGATCTTAATAGTTGATTTGTGAATGGATAGTTATAGTATTATAGATGTTGAGACAGTTGAATGGTTGACACATACTCCATATTAATAACAATTGTTATATTTCCTTCGTCCCCCAAGTCATCATGGAACCATTCAATGAATTGCTTGGTTGTAACTTTCCAAAATCCTTGTTGTATATTTGGCCTATAAATAGCCTGTTATTGTTCTTGTTTTAACATCAAAACTTGTCTAAAACAAATTAATCACAATAAACAATTCACTTATTTTTTCCAATCTTTGATTAATACGTTTGTGTATTTTCTTAATTAAGTAATTACGTCAAATGGAGATGAATAATCATACGGCTAATTTGTTCATGGTCGTTGCTTTGTTGAGCATTACTACTCATCTTTATGTTGCCAATGCAGCTGATCCTTCTATGCTTCAGGATTTCTGTGTGGGTACGAACGACCCTAATGCCTCAGGTTCGTCGTTGTTCTTGTTTTTTCGCTCTTTTTGTTTAATAATTTCAGTTATTTACTATGGCAAAATTGGATCTTATATCAAATATAATTCCATATTGTTTTTCTAATCATTTAGCTACTCTTTTTAAAAAAAATTTATAGTAAGAACTACTTTTTACTTTTTTGGGGATAAAATATCCACGTTACTAATTAAGATTAGTTGTGGTTCATAATAAGAATATGATTGTGGTTTTATTTTTTTTAAATGAAATTATGCATCACTAGTACGTGTCTAAGAAATGTCACTATAGAGTATAGAGTAATAATTAGTGAAAGATATTTTGATTTGAAGTGTTCTTATGATGTAGTTGGTCGATCTATATTCTCTAAGATATCTTCAAAATTGAAGGAATTGTTGCAAAAAGCCAAAAGCCATATGGTTTTCATAGTTTTTGAAAGTTAATAACGATTTATGGTTTGGTAGCTAGACTTTTCTTGAAAAAATTATAACTAATTTATTAAATTGAAACATGCATGCAAATCCTAAGAAATATATAAATGCATCCCTCTATTTTAGTAACTTGTCCTTTTCGTTATTATGGACAAAGTTTGAATATAATTTTCTTTATAATAATTTTTTTGGGTGTAAAAGGACATTACTCTTAAATATGAATCATATGATTCCCATAACTTTATATTGAATATCGTGAAGCTAAAGTTTGACCTTAAAAATTAAAATCAATCACTAATCATTTGATATCGTTATTACTTATCAGTTTCTTTTTTTTTTTTTTTTTTTTTTTTTTTTTTTTTTTTTTTTAAAATAATTTCTAGTTCATGCAAACCACTTTATTACATAGCTCAATAAGCTAATACGAATAAATAAAGTAAAGAGAAAATGCAAGTTTAATTATCACCTTAATAACCAAATTTTATTTATCAAATGACAAAACTGTAAATAAATCAAATACTTTTTACTTAATATGGGCCTCACAGTTGTTGATATAATTGCAAAAATGTCATGCTAACTGGATATTTTGTTGATTTTTATTTTACAATTTTGCCACTTGATAAACAAATTTTGTTTAAGAATTGAGAATTAAACCTATCATTACATATATGTATATACATAATATAGAGTGTATATGAAATGATTTGATGTATGTCTAAACTCAAGAAGTTTACTTAAAATGATTTGATGTACAGAGTTCTAAGCTAACTATATGTTTTTTTTTTTTTTTCAAGTCTTTGTAAATGGAAAGTTTTGCAAGAATCCAAAAGATGTGGAAATAGATGATTTCATACACAAAGGGTTTCACATTCGAGGAGACACGAACAACGCTCTAGGAGCAGAAGCCACACTAGTAGACGTAACTCGATTCCCAGCACTTAACACACTAGGCGTAGCCCTAGCTCGCGTAGACTTTGCACCCTTTGGCCTAAACACCCCTCATTTGCACCCTCGTGGCTCTGAGATCTTCGCGGTGCTAGAGAGAACTCTATACGCCGGTGTTGTCACAACCAATTACACACTCTATGACACGGTGTTGAGAAAGGGCGACATGATTGTTTTCCCTCAAGGTCTAATTCACTTTCAACTAAATCTTGGTAGAACAAAAGCTTTTGCCGTTGCCTCTTTTGGAAGCCAAAACCCTGGCCGAGTTAACATTGCTGATGGTGTGTTTGGAACAAGGCCGCGTATTTTGGGTGATGTTCTTACCAAGGGTTTTCAAGTGGATGAGACCGTGATTGAACGACTTCGAGCTTAGTTTATGAGTAAGAACTTATCAACCAGCACCGGAAGATCTATTCTTAAGCTTTTGGCTCAAGATTATTTGGCTGAGGATTCTTCGTACTAATTAATTTATTAAAATTTAATTAATTTCGTACGTAATATAATCAAGATTTATGGTAGCTGGCTCTAAATCACAAATAATCTTCTTATCAAGATATATGATTTTACTTGGTTTCAAAAAAAAAAAAAAAAAAAAAAAAAAGATATGATTTTACTTCGCATAATTTGTGTGGTTTGGATTAATCTAGGGTTGTATGTACTGTATTCCTTTATGCTTGGCTTTCTGTAGTTCAAATAAATTAAAGGAATAATTTAGCATCATTCTGTTGTATGTTCAGTTTAGTTTCTAAGGGTGTTGTAATTCATTTCCTCAAAAAAAGAAGCTAGATACTCTTAAGTCTTAACAAGTTACATGTGTGGAGAAAGAAAGGGCGCAGATATATAATCAATGACACATTCCCGTATGATCAATCAAAGAAGCATAAGGTTTCTAAATAGCAGACAAAGCTACCTACATAAGCCATGTAACTTTGAAACTCTTTGAAACAAATTATAAAGAAGTATGTATACCAATTAGGAACTTCATTTACTCTCTCCGGAATGCCATTCTAAAAAATGGGGGGATAGGAACCAGTAAAAGACAAGCAGCAAAATTCCTCAGGATCCTCTTATAGAAGACAAATGGTCGATGAATGCACATATTCATCCATCTCAGGTAACAACACCGTATAAAATATAACAATAATAAGTTTGGCAAAGATTCAAATTGATAGCACAGAATCAATTAACAACATGTTCACCATGTCATCGAGCTCATCACAACATAACCACAACTAATCCGAGCAGCAAAATCATCAATACAACCAAAACAATCAAAAATCGCATATTCATCACTATAACCACAATCAAACAATACCCTAATTTCAAATCAGAACAACCAAAACTCAACCAAATAAAAAAAATTAACCTCTTCAAATCAAACAAGGGGTAGATCTGGGCTCCTGTTCATCACGAGAAAGAGGGGATTTGGAGACGACTAACGATGAGGCGGCGGAACACAGTGAAGAAGAGGAGAAATCCAAGCATCGACCCCCTGTCACCATAATCACAAAAAAAAAAAAAAAAAAAATCAGACGCTCTATCATCTAACCATTGAATTCAATCAAAATTTCAAATGTTATCATTAATCACAAAAAAAAAAGTAAATAAAAATCAGAAACCCTAGATTTCAAATCGAAGAGCACATACCTTCGTGAAGAGATCCACCACTACTGCAAAAATCTGGCGCCGGTGAAGAAATAGACCCATCACCATCGCCGCCGTGATGGTTAGTGCGAGGGTAAATGAAAGAGAGAAAAAGAGAGCTGAGAGGAGAGTGAATGTGAGGTGGGATGGATAGAAAGACAGATATCTAAGAGGAGAGTGCGCCGGCTAGGTGGAATGGACGGTGGCACGATGGAGAGAGGAAAGAGATAGAGAAGTGGGAGATCTAGTTGAGGAGAGAAGAGAGAGAGATCGAGGAAAGAGAAAGAAAATAGAGGGGCGGATTTTTTTTCTTTAACATTCGCATCTGTTCGAACTGGTGCTGTTAACTCAAGTTCGCACCGTAACTGTTTGAACCGGTGCGATTACTCTTTAATCAACTCTCGCCTTGTTTTTTTAGCACCGGTTTTTAATAACCGGTGCTCATTTATGTTTTTACACTAGTGAAGGGTTACTCGTTTAATCAGGGGTTACTTGTAGGGGTTACTTATTGAGGGATTACTCGTTTGGTCAGGAGTTACTTATTTAGGGGTTACTCGTTTTGTCAGGGGTAAATTATAGGGGTTACTTATTCAAGGATTACTTATTCAAGGGTTACTCGGTCGGTCAGAGGTTACTCTCACATAGAAAACGCGCTAACCGACTGAGTAAGTAACCCCTACAAGTTACCTCTAAATAAGTAATCCCTTGCCACACGGTGTGACGAGCCACACAGAAAAAGTTGTTGTAATAAAAAACGGAGGTAGTATTTATCATGTACGAGTATCAGTACCGACAATGAGGAAATTATAATAAGAAAGGTGAAATACATGGTAAAATTCTACGAAGTAATAAATAACAAGCATGCATGCATGCATGGCAAGGTTGTTCGGAGTATGAATTGTTTCTCCGTACGACTTGAATTGATTGTGAAACGAATTATGGTTATCTTACCTCCATCATGGACCATGCATGCATGTTCTCCTCCAACTACATTATATGTGAAGTATTTGATCGTAAACCTAATTATTTTTGCACTGAGTTCGTTTGTCTCATTTAATATACGTACGTAGTATTTCATATTTGGCTGAACTGCTAAAGGCCATTTTAAAGGATTTGTCTTTAATTTAGATATAAATTCTTTAATCATTTCTACAATTATTAAGAACAAAAGCTTCTATATTATGAATACTTATGCATCATATTCAAAATTATTGGTAAAATTATAATATGCCTATATATAAAATTATAATTTTAATTTTAAAATGGCAAAATCAAAACACAAATTTAGCTAATCCGCGATCCATCCATTCTTTTTCTCTTTTTTTGTACTTCCTACTTTTCGATTTAAATGTTCGATCTTTATTTTTTTTTCCTACTTTTGCTTTATTCCTTTTACGATAAAGAAAATTTTCACTTTTATCACCTTTTACCCCACCACATAGTCCACGTACATTAAACTATATAATAATACTAATGTTTTTAAACAATTTTTTCTCTTCTACCTAAAAATACTTTAATTTGATATAAATACTCTTATCTTCATATTAAATTACTTGGTAACTGGTATACATAATTTTACGGAAGCGTACCTAATTTCATAATGATTTGATTGAATCCACTTCTTGATTATGTGTCTTCTAGCATATACATACACTAGGGTGGTGGGATATATTTGAAAAATACAATAAATATGTAATATGTATTACTATGGACCATAACCCTAGACATCTATATATATCGACTCCCTAAATTGTCCATCATGTTTTGAAAAGGACTTGATGGTCTCTACACATATAAGACTAAGCCCACATACACTTGATACTAAGGTCGTGTATTAGCCCAATATTAATTACTTAATTAAATGGATCATTTTAATTGTTTTCCCATATATATATATATATATATATATATATATTATATATATATATATATATATATTTGGTTGGTAAAAAGAAGGGCCCTATCGGGTTGGAACCTCTCACAGGTCCTCTCAGCCCAAATTAGCGGGCTAGACACTTTGATAGTGGGTGGGTGGGTGGGTGGATGGGGGAGGGTAAGGGAAAAAGTGCCTCTAGTGGGGTTTATTTGATCCAATAATCTCATGGTTGAGAGCTACAAACCTTCTCACTAGACCAAGCTTTGCCCAAAATATATATGAAAGTATGAAACTATATGATAGTAAATGTATACAATTATACTTGTATTGTACACGCATAAAATTGTATTTAAGTCCATATTTCTTAGATGTCAATATCATTCATTAATTAACTATTGTTTTATTCTTGGGCACAAGAATGTGTAATTGTAGGGTAGCTTGTAAATTATGGTCTTTAAAATTACAGTATCTATCAAAACATTATAGCATCCGAGAATTTGTAACTGGCCGATATGACAACTTGCATTTGGATTCTAAATTTCAAGGACTAGTAATAAATGGTTTTCATGGATTTGTGATTCGGGTTACAATTTTACATAATCCCCACGTTTACAAATTACAATTTTACTAGAAAACATTTTGTCAAATAAATAAGATCAAAAGTTAATGTGTAATATATTGATCGTTGGATCTTTCATAATAATGATTATTTTTCAAATATCATATTTATAATATTTTTTTTATAAGAATTAGGCTGACACTTATAATTAATATACCTGCCTAATTCAATTATATATTTTGATGATTGGATTGAACGTACGTGATTGATCTTCTTCCTATTCTCTCCAATAAACTGTCATATTGCGTTCATATGGAAAATATTTCTTTGCTACAAATTAAAATTCTTTGTTTTTGGAAAATTCTGAATATATATAATTCGATATTTGATATCCCAAAGCAATTTATGATATGGGCTAATATTACTTTAAGAATGGTGATTTTCACGTCCCTATTATTCATTTCCGATTAATTATTTATAACTAACAAAGTAACAATATTTTTTGGAGTATTAAAAAAGAGAAAAAGGTACTATAAACAAAACTAATAAAGTATAAAACATATTTTTAGATCTCAACCATTAGTTTAAATTTTTAGTTAAATTAATCCTTTATCATCATGGTAATATGGTATTGTTTTGATATCATGTTAAAGTACACTATCAAAAACTCTGACAGGAGTCACAGGACAATGAGATAAAATATTGGGTAAACAAAGTGTCATAGTGAATTAGTGAGACAGAGATAGTACAAATTAATTTCAAAAATATTGGTTGTCAATCATGCTTAAAGTCGTGTTTAATTTAATGTTGCACGTCAGGTTGAAAATTTATTGACGTCCTTGAAATGGCTAAGATTTTTGTTTGGATTGTGTGGTTACTATTACCCACTTAATGATGTCTAAAACGCAAGGCAAGTTCATGGTTGACGTCTCTGAATAGTTGAAAACCATCATTTTCATTCCTTATGATTTCGGCCCAATATAAATTTAGTAATTTGATTTTCTTATGTAGTTCGTACTTTGTTATGATTTTATTAGTCGATATTCTAGTAATATCAAGTATACTCTCTTCGTTTCTTTCTATTTGTCCTATTTATTTTTTTGTACAGTTTAAAAAATGCATGATTTAACATCAATACCTTCAACTATGCATTACTCGTATAAGATAGTGAGGGATAGCTCAAGTGTTTAAAGCTTCTCTTCCGGTTTCAGGTGATCCTGGAATCCATTCTCATTACTCGCCATTGTGGCTCTCTAAAGACCAAAAAAAAATGTATTACTCGTATAAAATAAATAAATATACTTCATATTTAGTTGATTTATAGATATTATTCATTTATACGAATTTAATAAAATCCCGCCCACAAATGTGTTTACTACCAAGGACTTCAAATTTTTAATAAAGTATCTAGCTCTATCCTTGATTTGAAATTTCTACTATCTTTATTTATTTCTATTTGCAACAAATGAAGGTAATGTCAGGTAGCTCTTAGAGTTATGAATAAACATTTAATAACTTTCTTATTTGATATTAATTAGGAATGTATGATAAATTACGCACAAATTAGTGTAATTAATGTTATATTTTCATTTATTTTTTTTCCATTTTTAGCTTTTTATATGTAGCCTTACCGGCTATGTATGCATTTTTCTTTTTTAAATATGTCTCATATAAAATACCCCTTTTGTAGCAAATAAATAGAAATAAAGAGAGTACATTCGTGTCATGTATAACCGTGTTCAATCTTCAATTCTACGTCAATTTCATAATTAATTAAACAATCAAATAAATGCCTATAATTACACTCGTATTACAAATTCAGTCTTATATTCATTTATGTTGATTAGGTAACAAATACTCCTGTCGCCTCGAAAAACGCAACACTATGACTTTTTTTTTTTTTTTTTTTTTTTTTTTTTTTTTAATAAAGATTGATTCATAAATAAAAAGTCATACGACATATAAAGAGATTTAAATTTAATAAATGCATGACAATTGAATCACATAAAAGCTTCATTTCAGCAGAGCTACGATCCATGTTGCAAATCGCTATGATTTACATTCTTTTTCGACGAAGGGGTCTATCAATCTGTTGTAGTCGTGAAGAAAATTTTCGTCTGATTCATCTGACTGTAATCGAAGGCCGGAGTAACCTCTTTTTCGATCCCGCACAAATCTTTACCATGAAACAACTTGTTGGACCATACTAAACTAAAAAAACAAAAACAAAACTAGAACAAAATCCACCAACAACAACAGTATGACTTTTTGCAAGTTCACACACACACATGTATGTATATATATATGTATGTATATATATAATATATATATAAGTTATGACACACTTAGATAAATAATTGACAAAGTAAATTGAACCAAACAGAGCTTTACAAATTTAAAAATAATTCGAGTTAGTATATATTATATACTCTTGAAGTACTATGGATCATGAACTCCATACACAATATGCTTGAGTTATTTTAATTTGTCTAAACCTTATGTATTTTGCTTAAATCTTGTGTTATTTTGCTAAAACAATATGTTATTTACTTATTTACTTTAACCTAAGCTCGTGCTATTTTACATAAAATTTGTGTTATTTTGCCAAAACATTATTTTATTTTATATAAGTTTCAGCTCATGTTGTTTTACCAATAATACCCGTATTATTTACATAAACTTTGTGTTAATTATTTTCTTAGACCTTGTGTTAGTTTGCTTAAAATTGATAAATTTTTTGTATTTAAATAAACCAACTTATCTGTATTCTCACTCCTTTAAGAGAATTAAATATTACATAAATATTATTGTTAAGAGTATGGAATATTCAAATTAACACAAGAGCTTTAATTATACAGTGAAATGGTCGATATTGAATATAAAAAAAGCATGTATGTATAAAATAACATGTACTTATTTAATAATAACATATATATAAATTGAAATAATAGGTTCACATCAAAATAACATGAATTTTATAAACCTGGAGTATAGTGAAATGATTGATGTTTAATATAAAAAAATAGCATGCATGTATAAAATAACATGTACTTATTTAAAAATAACATATATATATAAATTGAAATAATAAGAAGTTCACATTAAAATAACATGAATTTTATAAACCAGGAGTACCTGGCTGGTGCATGGTACTTCAGGAGTAAGATAGAAATTGCGCTCATGAGTGCAAATGTGCAATAGCTTAATGTTAATAGGCTTGGGCAACACTCGTCAAAAGAGTCTACTTTATAATATTAAAGAGGTTCCACTTCAAAATCATATACCAATGAGGGACGTACCCTTCTAAGTTAATATAGTGGACAATACTTTTTAGTTTATTCATATGAGATACACATCCAAACCCATCCCCTTACCGTTACATTCGCTTAATACAAGCCACGGCAATACATGCATCTACTCACATGTATGTTTGTTTATGGGCTTAATATTTAAAGAAACACAATATCAATAGTAATTCTATCTTTAATCTTAAATCTTTATCACAGCCGATCCTCACGAGCTAGAGTAGCCTACCTTGAGACTTTTTTCTCCATTTGAGGCTTCGAGCATGCTACAATTTTTCATAGTAATTTGCTTTTAACATTGAACGTTGAAAAAAGTCCGAGTCCGAGTCCGATCTCCGGCGTTGAACACATCGAGCTTGATCTTAAATTATAGTTAAGCGTACCAATAATCATTATTAGGTAAGCAATGATCACTATACCAAAAGAAAGACAGCTAGGTTGGCCTAGCTTGCGAGTTAATAACGATTCAATTTAATTTTAGTTAGCAACTCGATTACGATGTCCAAACTGTACAACATTTATTGTTATACACCATCAATCATGCGGTTTAGAAACTCTGATAATCACATTGCTTGTGAAAAAATCAACACGAACACTTGGTTGACAAATCCCCCCTTGTGCTAATGATTGTGCCATATTGCCATAAATAGATTTTTATTTTGATAAACATGTTCAAATTGATCACGAATTCTCATTAATGTATAGAAATAATATAGTCGTGTGGATTCTTGTTAAATTTATTTTAATTTTAATTTAAACGATTAAAAATACTTTTTTTTTTTTTAAAAAAGTTACACAAGATATGCATGTGTAGGAAAATGTGAAAAATCGGATTGATTTTAAAAGGAGGAGACAATAATGTAATTTCTTTTAGAATGGAATATGGGTCTGAATAACCCAAAAAGAAGAAGGAGAATTTAGTCCGCTTACGATCTCAGCTAAATTTCATCCCTAAACCAATTTGCGGTAGTTTAGCCATGTAAGTTATCTGGAATGAAAGTTATTTTAAAAAACATATTAGCATGGTTGTAACTTGAACCCTAGATTTTGAGCTCATTTTTTTCTCTCTACTTTCCTTCTTGAAATATCACGTAAATGAAACAACTTGCTTTTTGGGAAATCAAAGATCTCTTCTCCCAACAAACCTTATAAATTTGTGTAAGGACAATTAAAGATAATGACTTATGAGTTATTCATTGACAAACATGATTAAAATAACAAATTTCCCTTTCATCAAAGTAAAAGTCTTGTGTACAACGGGTGTACATTAATTTTATTGTAAAACGACCAGTTTGAACGTAACTTTAACTATTTTTATGATAACTTTAACTACTTAAAGGGTAACTTTTGATTTGTCGTTGGTTTGAATTTTATTTTAATGTGTAATTTCTCATAAATACGTAATTACATATTATAAAGACTAATATGATTAATCTAATACATTATAAGATTTTTGTAAGATAAAATTTATTAATAGAAAAATAATAACTTTTGCATTATAAAGGGTATTTTAAGTACTTTTAACATAAAAGCTTTTTCTCTCCCTCGAAAGAAAGGGTGTGCTCTCCCTTGCGAGAAAGGAAGTTTTTCCACCACCGTTTTTCGACGTGGTTTTTTCTCCGGCTATTATGGCCGAGGACCTGATTGCAAAGTGCGCTAACCTTAACATTGAGGATGAGGATGGCGAGACTGTGGATTGTGGTACAATTGATTCTTCGGATAGTGATGCTAGGGTTTCCCTAATGCTTGTGGGGAAATTATTGACAGACAGAGGAGTGAATATTGAAGCGTTCAAACGAACGATTACCCAATCCTGGGGAATGAAGGGAAAGGTTGTGATTAGGGCAATTGGAGCGAATTTTTTCGGTTTTCAATTCTTTCATTCGAGAGATAAGGAGAAGGTGTTGTTGGGAAGGCCATGGTGCTTCGAACAGAGCCTGTTGATTCTCAATGAAATTAAAGGGAATGAACAACCCCAAGACTTTGCCCTAACCCACTCTCCGTTCTGGATTCGTCTCGAAAACCTACCTTTTAATTGCAGGTCTGAAGAACATGCAAGGGTAATTGCGAGTAAGTTAGGGGAAATCGTTGAGATTGAGTCTGATGTTTTGGGAATTGATAAGAACCGAAGAGTGAAGGTGATGCTTGATGTATCAAGACCGCTGCGTCGATATATAAATGTTAAGAATAGGGAAGGTTCGATTATTAAGATGAACCTGAAATATGAACGTCTTCCCTTCTTTTGCTTCATGTGTAGAGTGATGGGGCATAATGAGAAGGATTGTGTAAATGTTCCGGAGGATCTTCAGCACCAGGGTCTGGGGTGGGGCTCATGGCTTAAAGCTTCCCCTAGAAGGGGTAGAAGAGCTGAAACTGTGGAGGTGCAAGAACTGAGTGCTACGAGGAAGCTTTCTTTTATCACTAAAGATTCGCTTTTGGCTACCTTGGAGAATTCGAAGTCAGTTGGGAAGATGGTGGTGAATGTTGACATTGGTGGAGATGGGGGGGATTAGGGTAGTGGATTGGGCAGGGGGGAGATGATAGAGGGTGGGGGCAGAGAGGTGAGTATGGGTGGGCAGGAGGTAGATGACCATGAATATGTCAATGGAGACGCAATGATACGGGATGCAGGGGAAGATGAAATGGAGCTGGAGGATCTGGATAATAATAATGAATTGAGAACTCTCGCTTCTTTTAATGTGGGCTTGACTACCTGTTCGCAAAAGGCAATTAGTGGAGTGAAAAAAAGAGCTAGAGTGTGCAGGAACGTGAAGGAAGAGAATGCTAGAATGAATAAGATGGATGCGAAAGTTGGTGACAAGAGGAAATTGAAGGGTATGGAGGAGTTGTTGGGAGGTGTGGAAGGGGAAGAAGCAGGAAAACGTATGAAAAATGGAGATGATCACATGGACTTGGAAAACGCAAGTCAAGTAGCGGAGGTTGGTGTCACCCAACCCCGCGAAGGTCAATGAAAATCCTGGCATGGAACTGTAATGGGCTTGGCAACCCATTAACAGTTAAAGCTCTCCAGGATTGGTGCTGGAGAGATAGGCCAAACGTAGTTTTTGTTACAGAAACTAAGATTGATGATGGTTGTTTGGAGCTGATTCGAAATCGTTGTGGTTTTGTGAATGGTATATGTCTAAGTAGCGCTGGAAGGTCGGGAGGTTTGGGTCTGTGGTAGAAAGATATTAATGTGTTTATTCGATCGTTTTCAGCTCATCACATTTATGCAGATGTGTGTGATGGTGGGAATGTTCTGATATGGAGGTTCGCGGGTATATATGGATGGCCGGAAGCTTCGAATAAACATCTCACATGGGACTTGATGCGAACACTAAAAACGGAGTCGACTACTCCAATGTTAATGTTCGGAGATTTTAATGAGATTCTGGGAATGCATGAGAAGGAGGGGGGAGTGGTGAGAAGGGAATGTCAAATGGACGCTTTTCGAGGGGCATTGGAGGACTGTGAGTGCAGGGACCTGGGATTTAAAGGGAACATCTATACCTGGCAAAGAGGAGCTTCGATAGACACGCTTGTACGGGAAAGACTTGATAGGTACATTGCTTGCGATGCTTGGTGCGCTTTGTTCCCACAATCGGAGGTTCTTAATCTCCCCTTGTGTCATTCAGACCACGCACCTATTCTACTGAAATTCGGTGAGAAGGAGGTGACGGAAAGGAAGGATAAAATCTTCCGGTTTGAGGCTTTGTGGCTCTCCAAAGATGAGTGTGGAAAGGTGGTGTCTGAGGCGTGGACCAGCGGCCTAAATGAACAGGTTCCTACTAAGATTGCTCGGGTGGCAGAGAGTTTGTCTTTGTGGGATGAAAAAAATTTTGTTGCTCTGAAAAAGAAAATAAGAAAGGCTAAAAATAAGCTGAAAGAAGCTCAGGGGGGGCGTCTAGATGGTGTTCGGTTAAAGAGGTGTAATGAGATAGCGAGCGAGCTTGATGAGCTTCTTAGGATGGAGGAATCGTATTGGTTTTCCCGGGCTAGGTCAAATGAACTACGAGATGGGGACAAGAATACGAAGTACTTCCATCATAAAGCAAGCCAGAGACGGAAAAAGAATACCATTATGGGGCTTATGGATGAGTCCGGGGTGTGGCAGACTTCAAAGGAGGGGGTAAATTCGGTGATTACGCAGTATTTTGGCACTCTGTTCGCCTCTGAGAACCCCTGTAATTTTGAGGAGGCCTTGAGGGGAATTGAGCCAAGAATATCGGAAGACATGAAAAGGGACCTTGATACTGAACCTTCGGGGGAGGATATCCGGATGGCTTTGTTCCAGATGCACCCAAATAAAGCGCCGGGGCCGGATGGAATGCATGCACTGTTTTTTCAAAAATTCTGGGAGACGATTGGAAATGAGATAATCTCCTTTGTGAAATCCTGGTGGCGTGGAGAGGTGGATCTTACTGAGGTAAACCGTACTTGTATCGTTTTAATTCCGAAATGCAACGAACCGAAAAGAATGACTGAGTTTAGGCCCATTAGTTTATGTAATGTGCTCTATAAAATTATTTCAAAAACAATGGCAAACAAACTCAAACCTATGCTTAGTAGTATTATTTCGGAAAATCAGAGTGCTTTCCTTCCAAAAAGATTGATTACAGATAATGCCCTCATTGCTTTTGAGATTTTTCATGCTATGAAGGCTAAGAATAATAGGAGGGATGGTACGGTGGCTCTGAAGTTAGATATGAGCAAAGCCTATGACAGGGTGGAGTGGTCGTTCCTAGAAAATGTTATGTTGAGGATGGGTTTTCGAACCTCTTGGATTAGGAGAGTTATGAATTGTCTATCCAGTTTGTCTTTCTCCTACAAGTACAATGGCTTTATATCCGGCTCACTTGTTCCCTCAAGAGGGCTCCGACAGGGGGATCCCATTTCCCCGTATCTTTTTCTGTTATGTTCAGAGGCTTTTTCGGGCTTGATTTCTAAGGCGGCAGCGGAGGGATCGATTCATGGGGCCAGAGTTTGTAGGGGTGCTCCAAGGGTTTCTCACCTATTCTTTGCTGATGACAGTATCTTATTTGCTAAGGCTACTTTGCTTGAATGCTCTAAAATAGCTGATATAATCAGTACATATGAGAGAGCTTCCGGACAGAAAGTTAATCTAAGCAAAACAGAAGTGGCTTTTAGTAGATGTGTCGATGCGAAAAGAAGCAAGGAGATTATAGAAATGGTGGGTGTCAGGGAAGTAGACAAACATGAAAAATATTTGGGTTTGCCGACTATTATTGGGAGATCGAAGAGAGTCGTTTTTACAAGCCTTAAGGAGCGTATCTGGAAGAAATTACAGGGGTGGAAGGAGAAGTTGTTGTCTCGTCCAGGAAAAGAGGTATTAATCAAGGTTGTGGTGCAAGCTATCCCGACTTATATGATGAGCATTTTTCGGATCCCTGATTGTCTAATTGATGAAATGCAATCCATTGTGGCAAATTTTTGGTGGGGGACTTCAGGCATGGAAAAGAAGATGCACTGGCATAGGTGGGACTCTTTGTGCTTGCCGAAATCAATGGGGGGTCTGGGGTTTAGAGATATGAAGTGTTTTAATCAAGCCCTCGCAAAACAGGGATGGCGACTGTGCAATGATAATTCCTCCCTGCTGCACCGAATCATGAAGGCCAGATACTATAAACACTCAGACTTCGTAGGGGCGGCTAGAGGTCATAATCCCAGTTATAGTTGGAGGAGCGTTTGGGGGGCAAAGTCACTGTTGCTCGAAGGGCTGAAATGGAGGGTGGGAAATGGCACTTTGATCAATGCTTGGGAGGATGCTTGGTTACCAGGAAGCGGAAATATTACTGTCCCAACAAAGAGGCAGGATAGTGATCCGAACCTGAGAGTAGTGGAGCTGATTGACTTCGAAAATGGGTGCTGGAATAGGAAGCTGATTGACGCACACTTTGAGGAGGCTGATCGCAAGGCGATATACAATATCCCACTTTCTGCCAATTGGGTCAAAGACCGTAGATATTGGTGGCCTGTTTCTGATGGCATCTTCACAGTACGCTCAGCCTATTGGCTTGGGAGACTAGGACACCAGAGGACGTGGGAATTATATTATGGAGGGAATGAAGGTGAGTTATGGAAGGTGGTTTGGGGACTGTGTGGTCCACCTAAGTTGAGCCATTTTATATGTCGGGCTTGTAAGGGATCCCTGGGTGTCATGGAGGTATTGTACAATAGACATGTTAGGGAGTCGAAGAGGTGCGGGGTCTGTGGAGCAGATGAGGAGACTATTTTACATGCATTGTTTAAATGTAAACATAGCCTCCATATATGGGCTCATAGTAACTTTGGAGAACTGCTTGAAAATTCCCCTGTCTCTAATTTTCGTGACATGTTTATATGGATAGCAGGCAAACTCGAAAGGGCTCAACTGAGAGTGTTTGCAGCTCTGACATGGGCAGCGTGGTTTTGCAGAAATAAGGAAGTTTTTGGTGAGGGAGCAGGAATGACAGGGGTTTCGGTGGCTACAGGCTTTGTGTCTTTTTGTGAGGAGTATGGCGTATATAATACCAAGATTGGGGGACGGAGTTCTATGGCTGGTGGAATCTCTGTGAGCTGTTGGGTGCCTCCTACGGGCTCCTACGTCAAGGTGAATGTGGATGCTGCCATTTTTGGAGATGCAGGGGTGGGATTAGGTGCTGTGATACGGGATTCAAATGGTGGGCTACTGGCTGCTGCCGTTAAAAGACAGGAGTGCTGCTGGGACCCTGCGATGGCTGAAGCGGCGGCGGCTCTTTTTGGGATGGTTGTGGCGAGAAGTCTGGGGTATATGGAGGTGGTGCTCGAGTGTGATGCCATAAATGTGGTGCGTGAGATTAGACAGCAAAAGGGTGGAGCAGCTCCGATTTTTTTGTTTTTTGATGATATTGCAAAAATTTGTAATTCCCTAAATAGGTTCAAATGCAACCACATTAAGAGATCGGGTAATACGGTAGCCCATTTAGTTGCAAGATGGGATACCGTTATGAACTCGGCTCGCATTTGTACTAGCTCTTTCCCCCAAAGTCTTCGAACTTTGGCGGATCTTGATTTACTGAATTAAGGGTTGTTTGTTCCGTTGTTCAAAAAAAAAAAAGTACTTTTAACATAACATAACTCGTTTTACAATAAATTAACGTACACCCATCTTTTCGGAGAATTTGTGTTCATCAAATTTGTATACGTAAGGAAGACTATAAATGCACGAGTTGACATTTGTTCACTTGATCTACTATAATACTATTGCGCTAGATTTTGGGCTATAAATAGGCCATTTAGCCGCTACCCTCATCTCATAATCTCATCACACAAACTTCTATAATAAACAAATCTTTTTTATTGTATTAAAAATAATAGTGATAAGTAATTTCTTGTTAGCTAAGTTAAATGGAGAAGAAAATTACAATGTGTGTTATTGCAGCTATATTTACGTTACTTGCAACATTGAGCTTTACTACTACTAACGCATCTGATCCTGCTCCCCTTCAGGATTTTTGTGTGGGTGTTGACGACCCTCATTCTGGAGGTCTGTTTACTTACATCTTGTATGTTGATAATCTATCTAGGCCTCTAATTATTCGTTATTGATAGAGTATAAAATCAATCCTATAATTCTAACCACCATTTTAACTTTCTGGTTGTATAAAATTAATCTTGAGACTTTATTTAATCTTTTTAGCTGAGTTGGTCTACTAATATATTATGTTATTTTAGCCATAGTGTATGGACTTTTACATTTTTCACTTCTTTAACTATTTTTTCATGATTTGTTCACAAGGAGGACATCAATAGAATAAGTTGTCCGTTGTTAAGTGTAAAACACAAAATGTTGCACTAAAACATAAAAAGCAATATGACAAAGGTTTGATTTATTTATGTTATTTATTTTTTCTTATGCAGTGTTCGTGAATGGGAAGTTTTGCAAGAACCCAAAGAGGGTGACAATCAACGATTTCTTGTACAAAGGTTTTAACAGGACTTCGGTTATTGACAACCCTCAAGGAGCCGAAGCTACACTAGTAAACGTTGATCGATTTCCTGGACTTAACACACTCGGTGTAGCCATAGCTCGTGTAGACTTTGCACCCTTTGGCTTAAACACCCCTCATCTACACCCTCGTGCCTCACAAGCATTCGTGGTCATGAAGGGAACTCTCTACGCCGGTTTTGTGACCACCGATTACAAGCTCTATGACACTATTATGAATGAGGGTGACTTGATCGTGTTCCCTCAGAGTCTTATCCACTTTCAACTCAATCTTCGTAACACTACAGCTTTTGCTATCGCGGCTTTTGGTAGCCAAAACCCGGGAAGAATTAATGTTGCTAATGGTGTCTTTGGTACAACGCCAAAAATTATAGATGATGTTCTTACTAAGGCTTTTCAAGTGAATAGAACAGTGATTGACCAACTTCGGTCGCAATTTTCGAGTAGTAAGCACGTATCAATCGACACCGCAAGATCAATGCTACTTGAGATGTTATCTCAAATCTAAGTAAGCTAAGGTTTGAAAGAATTAAGGATTACTATGTCACACTGCTGATGAATTTATGTGAGTTGTACGAAGTATGTGTAATGGTTTGAATAAACGACTACTATGTCGTTAGGCTTTAATTAATTTATGCATGTTTCTTGTATGTGATTGTGTACGACTGTACGTTGCACTATGTTTTAAAGGATGGAATAAATAAAGGACTATTACAATAATGTCATTATTGTCATACATGCAGTTTCCGTTTCATTTTAATTGACATATATCTTTAGCCAAATGCATGATTTCAAATGTCAATTCTATAATTATATATTTGAAAATATTTTTTTTTAAAAAAAAAATTACAATTAGGGATATGGAAAAATTAATGAAGAATTTAAGATGAATCAATCAAAGACCTCATCACGTACGGTATTACTTATAATTTATGTTGATATGAAAAATGCGGTGTTGTATTTAATTTGTGTGGAACAAGGTCAATGAATAAATATATAATTGATGAGAAAGTAATAAAGAAGATAAACAAATTAAAAATACACAAGGATTACGTGGTTCAACTAAACCTATCTACTTCACAGGTGGGGACTTCAATTCGAGAGCGTTTTATCACTTTGATGAAGAAAATAAGAGGTATATGTATACAAGGAGTCTCAAATGGCTTAATTGGCTTAATGAAACCTAAAACTCAATGGTTCTTTTACAACATAAGAGCCCTATTAAAACCCTTTGATTACTCCCCAAGGCAAAGCACAAGTAGCTGACATGACTAAAACGGATCTAATCAAAAACATTGAACGATAGAGAACAAAACACGTGGCAAAAATGGGGCATCCAAGATCTAGTGCGTGGGCGCACAGTAGTTACCATGCACGAACGCGCATGGATTGTTTTTGCCCAAACATTGCCTTTGTTCGGACGCACTAGCTCCTTCTTCTTGCGCAGACACGTAAACCTTCCACCTCGGACTTCAAATTTGCCTTTCTACAATCCTTTTACACACGGTTTATGATTAAAGGATTGAATGGACTATCACAATAATGTCAATGTATGTGTCATTTCCTAAAAAAATATAATGTCAATATGTCATTATAATTATGTTTTAATTTACGTTTAGTATATATCAGTGATTTGTAACCTGTAATTGCACGTAACTTTGTATGTGTGTATGCTTCGAATAAAGGACAAGTCAATTATATATCAACAAAATGATGAAAAAGGGTTTCGAACCCTTGTTGTGCATAGAATAATACTTCCTCTATTTTATTTATTATGTTCTTATTAATTTTTTTTGATTTGTTTTATATTGTTCTTAACATATCTACTTTATTTTAATTTTTGCAAATCCTTCTTACTTACTTCCACCTATTTCCTCACAACATTTACATCTTTTCACAGTCTTTGTTATTCTATTCATCTCAAATTATTTTTTGTAGATAATATACTTCTTCTCTATTCTCTTTTAATATAATTGCAGCGTGGAGGGGATGTGTGGTATTCCGTATAATTTAGGAGAAGAGAGAGATAAAAAGAAAGACCCATGATGTGATGAGAGTAGGAGTACTAAGATAGGGAGCATCATTTGCCAAATTAAGTAATTTTGCAATTATTTTGTAACTTTATAAAAAGGATTACATTGCAACTAAACGAAAACAGATGAAGTTTATACTTCTTATTATTTATACCAGGGCCAATTATTAAGCAATGAAGCCTAACGCAACTGCATAAGGCCAAAATTTTGGTTAGGACCTCGAAACGATATTACTCGAACGCTATTCAGCACTTCAAACGGTTTTATTTTTTTTTTTTTATTTTTTTTTTATTTTTTTTTTTTTACATGATCACTTTAATTTGTCATGGTAAAAATTAGTGCTAGTAGGAAAAATTGAAGATTAGTGGCAGGAAAAAGGATTACACTCGTTAGTTATTCAAGATTGCTGCTTTTCGTTTTTTCCTAAAACCATCGATGTGTCCCCATTATATTACTAAACTTTATTCTTTTGCCCATGAATCCATAATCAAATTATGCACGATTATTTACAAGTACGTAGAACTTCTCGTATCAATTTCTACTATTACCCATTCTCTATTACAATTCAAGTCCGGTTAACTATCTGTTTAAAACCTACTCGTATCGAAATATTTACATTTATTTAGGTAATATCTAGAGAACATTCTTGTCCCAGTGAGAATAATTAGGAACCATACATCTATAAATAAATCCGTGAATGGGTCAGATCCGGTCAATTATTTTGATTGGAGGGCCTAGTTTTATTTTACTTGTACAATGCCTTTGTGATGTGGTGATGACGATGACGACGACATGATTTGAAAAACGATATTTGTGTTAAGATACTATATATTCAAAAATATCAAACACAACTCAATTGCTAAGGGTCCCCATATGTTCGTCCAATAGAAAATGTATGGTTCTTGATTTACTTCACTTCTTTTTTTTGTTGTTGCTATATATAGGCAAGTTATCACCTACATAAATAAAGAGTTAAAAAAAACAATCAAAAAGTGTTACATATTATCTACTAAAATCTTTACTAGTTTATCGTCTATGGAGAAGATTAATAGAAGAGCTGGCTATAATTGGGCCATTGTAGCTTTGTTCACGGCCTTTGCAATGAGCATTGCTACTCAATTTTACGTAGCGAATGCCTCCGATCCTTCTCCCCTTCAAGATTTTTGTGTCGAGGCTCATCATCATGACTTAAATTCTGGAGGTAAAACATTCCTCTCCCTAATTAATTTATTTTTGCGTTATATAACATGGAACATGTATAATGTGGTGCTTTCAGCCCACCACACAAAATTTTAACAATTTTAAAATTATAAGTATTTCGTGATATGAAAAAGATATTAAGGGGTCACGTTGTCATGTGATGTACAGTAACCAATAACATAAGGAACTCTAGGATTGATCATATATTCATATTACCTTATTTTCTAATAGTGAGGGATAGCTCAAGTGGTTAAAATTTTCATCCCGATTCCAGGTGATCCTGGGATCGATTCCAAAAAACCTTATTCTCTGCTTAGTAAGCTCACATAAATATATACATTATTCTAATTTCTTACTAATTGATCTTAATCTATGTAATTTAATTAACTTTTGATCAATCTTCTACTCGTACAGTGTATGTGAACGGGAAGTACTGTAAGAACGAGGATTTGGTAACAACCAACGATTTCGTGTACAAAGGGTTTGACAAACCTGGAGACACAAACAACACTCAAGGAGCAAAGGCCACGCTAATCGATATCAACAAATTCGCAGCCGTTAACACACTAGGGGTGTCCATTGCTCGAGTAGATTTCGGACCGTATGGTCTAAACACTCCTCATTTTCACCCTCTTGGCTCGGAGATATTCGCCGTGCTAGAGGGCACCCTATATGCTGGTTTCGTGACCACTAAGAACAAACTTTATGACACGGTACTAAAAAAAGGTGACATAATTGTTTTTCCACAAGGTTTGTTACACTTTCAACTAAATCTTGATGAGACGGACGCTTTAGCAATTGCAACATTTGGTAGCCAGAATCCTGGACGTATCAATATCGCCGACGGTGTGTTTGGAACACCTATCTTGGATGAGGTGCTTACCAAGGCCTTTCAAGTAAATGAGAAGGCGATTGAACAACTTCGAGCTCAATTTTCGACTAACAATGCCTCCGTTGATAATCCTCGGAAATCGGTTCTAAGGCTGTTATCTCAACTCTCTAGATAATGCTAGTTCATTTTTATGCAGGATAATATTAATGGCCTTATGGGTGATCAAGTTACATGATATTCACCCATTAGAGATTAAAAAACAGTGATTTAATGTTTGAGGTTGTATTGGAATCAAATAAAATGTTGATGCTATTTTATTTTATTTCATGTTTTAAAGTCCTACAAATTTCTATTGGTTAATGTGTACGAGTGTATAGTATCACTCTTTTGTTGCTATTGTTACTGAAGGCTCCACCTTGATGATATTTTAATTTAAGTTTATGATGGAAGTCAAAACATATATTAATATATTATGTTGCATTGGACTGTACGAATTGGTTTATTTTTTAAAGCCCAATACGCATGATAGATTGGATTTGTTAGTTTGGATGATTATATTATTTTGCATAAATATATGTGATAATTATTCTGATCATTTTATCTCTAACAAATTAATCTTCTGTTTTGATTATTTATCTATATGATATGATTGAGTTTGTTAATAATATTTCATAATTATATTTCTTATCTATTTAATTTTTCAGATTATATTTTGAATAAATTTATCCTGTATTACCTAACCTTGTTTCAAGGAAGTTGTTAGTCTTGCTGTTGCACAGGATAAGGCTGGAAATTTATTCAAGGATATATTCAAAGATAAACGTTGAAACAGAAACAAACAGCTAGCAACGTTCAAATTTCAAATAGCCGAAGGTTGTTGAAGAAGCAAGATTAAAGGAATTCGGTTGGTGTTTTTCAAAGGTTTGAAATCAAATCTACAACGTTTGAAATCAGTCTTGAAGCCTTATAAATAGCGTCAAGATATGCTGAAGAAATAATAACGACAAGAACAACAACGTAGAACAAGAACACTCAAGAATTATCAAGCTTCATACACTATAGCAAGAGTGTTAAATATTTTCTCTCTAAGTTCTTTAATACCTTATTGTGTGATTAGATTGAGAGAAAAGAAAAGTGTATCTAAGAGTGGAAAAAGTATATATCAAAAGAGTGATATACTTAGAGTAAATTTATAATACTCAAAGTATAGTAAAAGTGAGTTAGCTTTTATTTCTGGGAATTGAGTGTCTAAGGTGTAGCTGGGGTGCTGCGGAGAGAAAATAGTGAGATCTTCTAGGGTGCTTTAGAACTCTAAGGAAAGAAATAAAAGTTGGTTTAAAATCCTACGGGTTGGACAACCCTAGGCGGAGACGTAGGCCTTTGTGTTGAACTTCGTAACAATTTTCTTGTGTGCTTTACTTTCTGTTCTTGCACTTATTTTTGTGTTGCTTAAACTGATCATTTGCTAAATTCAAACAAACACATCTAACATTCTGATTAGCAATCAGCTTCGCTGTATCAATTGTTTTCAAAGCCTTGACTTTAAGTCTGAAATTAGTTTATTCCGTCTAGAAATTAATTTCAAGACCTTGACATTTTCAGTTTTGCGAAAAACGCCCATACTCTATTCAACCCCCCCTCCCCCCCCCCCTTTCTAGAGTATTATTGTGTTCATTCCATTACCATTGTGATCCTTTCAGTTACAAAAAAAAGAAACAATAGAATCCACTTGACAATAATATCACATATAACTGACATAAGACAAATATTTAGAAAGGGCGACATGATTGTTTTCCCTCAAGGTCTAATTCACTTTCAACTAAATCTTGGTAGAACAAAAGCTTTTGCCGTTGCCTCTTTTGGAAGCCAAAACCCTGGCCGAGTAAACATTGCTGATGGTGTGTTTGGAACAAGGCCGCGTATTTTGGGTGATGTTCTTACCAAAGGTTTTCAAGTGGATGAGACCGTGATTGAACGACTTCGAGCTCAGTTTATGAGTAAGAACTTATCAACCAACACCGGAAGATCTATTCTTAAGCTTTTGGCTCAAGATTATTTGGCTGAGGATTCTTCGTACTAATTAATTTATTAAAATTAAATTAATTTCGTACGTAATATAATCAAGATTTATGGTAGCTGGCTCTAAATCACAAATAATCTTCTTATCAAGATATATGATTTTACTTGGTTTCCAAAAAAAAAAAAAATATGATTTTACTTCGCGTAATTTGTGTGGTTTGGATTAATCTAGGGTTGTATGTACTGTATTCCTTTGTGCTTGGCTTTCTGTAGTTCAAATAAATTAAAGGAATAATTTAGCATTATTCTGTTGTATGTTCAGTTTAGTTTCTAAGGGTGTTGTAATTCATTTCCTCATAAAAAAGAAGCTAGATACTCTTAAGTCTTAACAGGTTACATGTGTGGAGAAGGAAAGGACGCAGATATATAATCAATGGCACGTTACCGTATGATCAATCAAAGAAGCATAAGGTTTCTAAATAGCAGACAAAGCTACCTACATCAGCCATGTAACTTTGAAACTTTTTGAAACAAATTACACTACAAGAAAACAGCTTAATTTCGACGGAAATAATCCGTCGGAAACATAGGAAAATCCGTCGGAATAAGGCCTTCCGACGGAATTCCGTCGGAATAAGGCGTTACGACGGAATTCCGTCGGAACAGTTCTGTCGCGAAACAAATTGTAGGAAATTAGACATTTTCCGAGGGAAATTCCGTCGGAAGACATTATTCCGACGGAAATTTCGATGGAATTCCGTCTGTCGGAGCTGAATTTGACTTTAAACGTAATTCCGTCGCAAAATTCCGACGAACTGAATTCCGTTGAAAAGTTATATCTTCCAACGGAATCGGAAGAAGAGAAATTTCGACGACAAATTCCGTCGGAACGGTCCTGTTAATGTAGCAAATTAATCTATTTAATTTGGATTTACCACTTTTGGAAACCTATATCTCCTGCACCTATTTTAAGACAAATCTGAATTTTTGATTCAATTACGAAAATATTTTTATATATTTATATATAATAATAATGTATACATTGTGTGTATACAAAATAATACTAATTTAAATATATGTACATAATATATACACAAATTCTAAGTCGCAGCCGGAGTACCCTGACCTGCACCGCCGCTACCCGGGTCGTTCGAGGGGTCTCTTCTCAAATGTGGAATGGTGGAACATGTGTCGTTGCTGGAGAATCGAGCCATTATCTTTTCGTACTTGGTTTCTCCTTTCAATTTCGGCCAACTGAGTTGCCATCTCGACTGCCATTTCACTCCGAAGAGCTTGCACCCTCTCCTCCACCCTCTGCTCCACCCTCTGTTCCACTTGATCCTGCATCTGGGAAAGAATGGAAGGCGTGTACTGCTGGGAAGACTTAGAACCTTGACCCTTCTTGCCGTAATACAGCTCTGCACCTTGGCTAAGTTTCTTGACACGACCCTTCTTGTTGCGACCACCTATAGTCTCCCAGTACAACTCATTTGGACTTTTCCGAATCCCTTGGGTGCTGGCTTCTTCAACTTTCTTCTGGTAGGCCTCCTTCAATATACATGTATGAACAGGTGCACACAGATGTTAGTTAAAATAAGCTTTCAGAACCAAATTCATCCAAGTATTGCCTATATGACCTATTCTTTGCCCATTTTCTACATTTTTGAAAAAATGACCTATTTCTTTCTCTAAACATGTCTATTATAGGTATTCAAGGGGTACATGTCTTGTAATCACAAAAAAACAACAAGTCCCTAAGGTTTGGGACGCATTTGGAGCCAAATTGAACCAAATATGGCCTATGTGACCTATTTTTTGCCCATTTTATACATATTTGACCAAATGAACTATTTCTTTCTCTAAACATGTCTATTATAGGTATGAGGAGGTGTAAATGCCTTGAAATCACAAAAAAAAAAAAAAAAACAAGTCCCTAAGCTTTGGGACGCATTTGGAGCCAAATTGAACCAAATATGGCCTATGCGACCTATTTTTGGCCCATTTTCTACATATTTGACCAAATGAACTATTTCTTTCTCTAAAAATGTCTATTATAGGTATTATAATGGGTACATGCCTTGAAATCACCAAAAAAACAAGTCCCTAAGGTTTGGGACGCATTTGGAGCCAAATCGAACCAAATATGGCCTATGTGACCTATTCTTTGCCCATTTTCTACATTGTTGACCAAATGAACTATTTCTTTATCTAAACATGTATATTATAGGTATTATAAGGGGTACATTCCTTGAAATCACCAAAAAAAAAAACAAATCCCTAAGGTTTGGGACGCATTTGGAGCCAAATTGAACCAAATATGGCCTATGTGACCTATTCTTTGCCCATTTTCTACATTGTTGACCAAATGAATTGTTTCTTTATCTAAACATGTATATTATAGGTATTATAAGGGGTACATGCCTTGAAATCACCAGAAAAAACAAGTCCCTAAGCTTTGGGACGCATTTGGAGCCAAATTGAACCAAATATGGCCTATGTGACCTATTCTTTGCCCGTTTTCTACATTGTTGACCAAATGAACTATTTCTTTCTCTAAACATATATATTGTAGGTATTCTAAGGGGTAAATGCCCTGAAATCACCAAAAAAAAACAAGTCCCTAAGCTTTGGGATGCATTTGGAGCCAAATTGAACCAAATATGGCCTATGTGACCTATTTTTTGCCCATTTTATACATATTTGACCAAATGAACTATTTCTTTCTCTAAAAATGTCTATTATAGGTATTAAGTGGTGTACATGCCTTTAAATCACAAAAAAAACAAGTCTCTAAGCTTTGGGACGCATTTGGAGCCAAATTGAACCAAATATGGCCTATGTGACCTATTTTTTGCCCATTTTCTACATATTTGACCAAATGAAATATTTATTTCACTAAACATGTCTATTTTAGGTATAAATAGGTGTAAATGCCTTGAAATCACAAAAAAAAAAAAACAAGTCCCTAAGGTTTGGGACGCATTTGGAGCCAAATTAAACCAACTATGGCCAATATAACCTATTCTTTGCCCATTTTCTACATATTTGACCAAATTAACTATTTATTTCTCTAAAAATGTCTATTATAGGTATTCTAAGGGGTACATACCTTGAAATCACCAAAAAAAAACAAGTCCCTAAGCTTTGGGACGCATTTTGGAGCCAAATTGAACCAAATATGGCCTATGTGACCTATTTTTTGCCCAGTTTCTACATATTTGACGAAATGAACTTTTTCTTTCTCTAAACATGTCTATTATAGGTATGAGGAGGTGTACATTCCTTGAAATCACAAAAAAAAAAAAAAGACAAGTCCCTAAGCTTTGGGACGCATTTGGAGCCAAATTGAACCAAATATGGCATATGTGACCTATTTTTTGCCCATTTTCTACATATTTGACGAAATGAACTATTTATTTCTCTAAACATGTCTATTATAGGTATGAGGAGGTGTACATGCCTTGAAATCACAAAAAAAAACAAGTCCCTATGCTTTGGGACGCATTTGGAGCCAAATTAAACCAACTATGGCCAATATGACCTATTCTTTGCCCATTTTCTATATATTTGACCAAATGAACTATTTATTTCTCTAAAAATGTCTATTATAGGTATTCTAAGGGGTACATGCGTTGAAATCACACAAAAAAAAACAAGTCCCTAAGCTTTGGGACGCATTTGGAGCCAAATTGAACCAAATATGGCCTATGTGACCTATTTTTTGCCCATTTTCTCCATATTTGACCAAATGAACTATTTATTTCTCTAAAAATGTCTATTATAGGTATTAGGAGGTGTACATGCCTTGAAATCACAAAAAAAAAAACAAGTCCTTAAGCTTTGGGACGCATTTGGAGCCAAATTCAACCAAATATGGCCTATGTGACCTATTTTTTGCCCATTTTCTACATATTTGACCAAATGAACTATTTCTTTCTCTAAACATGTCTATTATAGGTATTCTAATGTGTACATGTCTTTTAATCACCAAAAAACCAGATTTGGAACGATTTGGAAAGTAATTCATGAAATCGGTCATAACTAGTTGAAATCCAATGTGTTATTGAAGTTATTACCGCAATATGTTGTGCTTTGGTGTTGGCTGGTACTTTTCCTTTCCCAGGCACTTTCTTGAAGTGCGTCTTCCAGAACAGCTCATGAGCTGTTAGGAGCTGGCCTTGATTCTTCGTCGCCTTTGTTTATACATGCACAAAATGATAAACTTAATTTGTTAGCGCACTTTTAAATTATAAGACACAATTCTCTAAACACTTTACTTGCATATTCATCAAACCTACCATCCGTTTAGCATGTTGTACAGCCGACATCGAACCCTGAAAGTGGGTAGCTTCAACCGCATTTTCCATTGAACCGCACCTCCTGTTCTTCTTGTTTTGGGCCGACCTCTTCTTGTAAGTTGGATCGGCGACAACAATATCCATCATTTTCTTGTGGACGTCCTCAATGAGCCAGGCTGGCTTTGCGCCCCTCATCTTGTGCGTGACTGTGTATAACATGTCACGTAGCCGAGTAGCAAGCTTCTTTTCAAAAGTGTGCTTCACATCCTCGGCCAATTCAAGTGCCCATGTGAATTCTTTCTGCAAATGATAAAATTTAGAAGTCATATACTCAACTTCATCTCATACTTTTCATAAAACATGTATTCGTTAAGTCTAAAATAGCTTACGTAGAATAAGTTCCACCGGTGCTGCTTCGTTGCTTCATCCACCTCTCCGTAATTCCTCCAAGGCGCTCGGTGGTACCCAATTAGCGTGTCGTAGACCGAATCCCTCACCCTGTTGTCGTCGAACCTAAATTATAAGACGAAACCACAAAGTTAGATGATCATCAATAAATAGTAATATAAGACTTGTTAGAGGTTAATTATAGGTTAAGAGTGTACGTACCAGAGCACAGTAGGGTCTAATACCGGCAACTGTGAACGCTGCTGTGTCTGTGCCTGTGATGGGCTGGAAGGGGGCTCCTCAGTCGCACCCAAATCGTGTGCCTCTGCATCCGCCATGTCCTCATCGGAGGAGTCGACCACCATTGCCCGTTTACCTCTGTCTTTACCGCCCGCCATGATCACCTTAAATAATTGTTAATAACATGGCAACATATTATAAGTTACAAGTGCAGTACATTATAATTAAATTTCAGCGTAAATGTAATGATTTATTATAAAACC